AGAAGAATGGGGTGGTGATTTCTGACTTGTCGGCGATGACCACGGTGCTGTTACAACAAGTCAAAGGAGCAGAAGGTATCATCGCGTCGGAGGACATGACCTCCGTGTCTTGCACACCAGTTGGCTGCCTCGCTTTGATGGCTTGCTTGCCCTAGCCAGCACCTTCAGAATTCCTTGCAACCCAGCTGGCACCGTGCAACAATCTAGGTCGCGAAAAAGAAGTGCCCCTGGCAAAAAAATGCAGCAAGGGGGCTGGGTCAATGCTGCTGGGGCGGGGGGCACATGCTAAGAGCAACCAAGCTTCTGCTGCAGAATTCTCGCGAGGAACTCCACACCAGCCCGCACAAACTGAATCAGGTAGCCGTCCAGAATGCTCGCTTGCCTTTCAAAGGACAACTGGAGCTGGAAGTTCTCCCACCGATCCTTGGTTGCTCGAGGGGCCATGCCTACAGCATCGAATCGGGAATGCTCACTGGCAGTCTGCCTGCCAATAGTCTGAACCAAAACTGATACTGGGGATGCGCAGCCACGACGCAAAAGACGTGCAAGAGCCAGCACCAGCTGAAAGTGGTCTGATCGTGATCGGATATGCCCCTTCTGCATTGTCATGACAGAACCCTCGCAATACTCCCTTGGAAAAGCATCTCACCTGGAGCTCGATCCACTTCAACTTCCCCCCCAGTCGCAGGTTGATCAATCTGGGGGCCCCAGTTTCCCCCACTTCCCGATTTGCTTGCTTGGGCACATAGACCAAACGGAGCTCGCGGCCGATATCTTGGCGCATCACTTGTAGGAGGGACAGTTCCGCCGTCTCGTCCTGGCAAAGTCGGCAAAAGGGAAACCAGCGCAGCTCAGCCGAGAGGCCACAAAGTGATGAGAATGCCCGACTGCACAGCTGATGGCGGATGATCCCCGTGCGGTTAGGGATAGGATTTCTGTTGGCAATCCCCTGGCGCGGGCATTCACAATTGTTTTTTGAGGCTGGCTTCCTTGTCCAGGAAAGTCAAGGCATCCACACGAACTCGAGACAAATGACTCAGCTCTCGGATAAAGAACAAATCCCAGCCGTTGGGATCTCCCTCCTGATTAGACTGACACTTTTGAGCGGGCTGACTTCCTGGCCCTATGCCAAGCAACTGCTGACACCTGGAAGCTCCCAGGAGTTAGCCTGTGAAGCCCCCGCTATCCCCACCCTCCCCGGATAAGGTTCCCCGGGCCCTGGAAGCAAAAGAAAGACTTCACTCTACCTGAGCGCCGGGCCCAGCCCTGCGACTCCCGGAGGTCCATGATTTCGTGCCTGGGCAGCTTTCCTCTCTTAGCCTTTTCCACCTGACGACCCCCAGCTCGATAGGTTTAATGACTGAAACCTCTGCAATTCTCTACGCTTGAATCTCAGCCCACAGAACACCGGAAGAGGGGGACATGGGCCAGCCAGCGTGACCAATAGTACGGCCCAACCACAAGGAGAGGGCAACCACCCGCGCTCCTGGCAACTTCCCTCGCAGCAGCAATCCAGCGCAGCCGCCGTTCGATCTCCTCCTTGTTCTCCTCCCCCGGCACTTCCATGCGCCTAGTCTCCCCAGGTGTGGCTCCATCACAACTCCGGACGCAGGATTCACAAAGTTTTGAGGGATGCATGGGGTCAAATGCGAAGCGGGAAAACTTTACCACACACCTTGCCACCTGCGTGTGGATATCAAGAATGAAGTGAACGAACAGGAGTGCTAAGCTCGGCCAACCATGCCAGGTTGCTGCAGGGTGGTCATCGCCCAGTGCCGCCACTCCTGGGCCACGAGGAAGGTCGGGAGATTTTCCACAAAGTTGCCCTTCTTCTCCCTCAGGACAGCGAAGGGCATGGTGGGCAGGGCAATGGCATGAAGGAACACGTTCATGCAGAGGGTTCTTCTACTCATAAAAAGATGAGTCGCCCAGCGGCTTTTGGTCAAGCATTAAAATGTATTTTCAACTTGGGAACGCATGTGCAAAGCCAGGCAAACTCATGCCTTGCTTTCTGCTTGCCAGGCAGCCACATCCGGTACCTAGGCGCGTAGCAAGCAGATTTGCAAATGCCGGGGAGCCTGAAAACAAGCTTGTGAGGACCCTACCGCATATACAGGCACTAATCATGCACAAAGACGTCTCCCAGTAAGCTATAGCAAACCTGCAGCTGCTGAAGCTCATGGGCCACTTGCCATCAAAGCTTTGCTGGCAGTCAATGACCATATTTTTGACGACGAGCCTTTGTGACGCATTGAACCTTCTGCAAAGATGAACCCCAATCAGCACTCAAGCCTGGGCGCTGGTAAGCCAGCAAAACCCGGTCGATGTGGTGCGCAGTTTCCACCAGGAATCCCTTGGAAATTCCGGCTAGGAGAGAAGCCCAGTGATGCCTGAGCAAGGTCTGATGTGGGCAGCTCGGGGGCTGTCAGAATCAGCGACTCCAAACTTCTGGCAAATTTGCGTGTGCACTCCAGCTGCTGCCCAGTAACACAGGTGATGCCGGCCGTGTATATCTCCACAGCTTGCACCAAGCCTTGAACTCGGCTTTTTCGAAGTAGTCTTTTTCCAACTCCTGGGTTCGCCCTAGGGTAACACACACACACACACACACAGGGAGACACGCACGGAGACACGCACGCACGCATGCACGGACACAGCGCGGCTTGGCTGCAATCGCTTGGAAGCGGTATATGTCGCTGAAGGTTGTCAACGCCCTGATGTCACCTCAGGGAATGACGTCCCCAGTCTCGAGTGCTTTGAACCCTATCAGGCTGACTGGCACACCCATGCAAAATTGGCAGCAAACAAATTCGCTGGGGGGGGGGGGGGCAAGAGGGATGAATTGGAAGAGCCTCTTGGTCGTTGCTAGCACGGCTGTGCCAAGGGCCAAGAGAAAGGTCGTTTTGTTTCTGATGCCTTCTTGTTCCAGACCCATGTTCGCATACGTGACGCAACTGATAACCCCAAAAGTACAAATTGTGTTGGATGCTTCAATGGTAGAACTGGCCTGCGCAATAAACCAACCAAACCAACCAACCAGCCAGCCTGCCAGCCAGCCAACCAGCCGACCAGCCGACCAAGCATCCACGACAAGACTACAAGCTCTGTCAACAGAGACACCCTGTTGCACATATTGCAACTCAGCATGGCCTGGCGTCAGGGATTGCGGCCCGCAGCAGCCACAGTAAGTGCAAATGAAGAAGGAACAGCAGCTGACCACCAGCAATGCCGCCTCGAGCCCACAGCTAGGCGAATGGCGTATCGAGACCATACAGGCTTGCACTGAGTAAGCAGGTCCGAATTCAGTCTGCCGGTTCCGCCGGAGAAGAAAAGAGGATTGCGTTCAACATAGAAGTTGGGAGAGCGTGTCTGTGCGTATAACCTCCATCTGTAACACAATGAACTGCACATGGCCAATTGGATCGCGCATGCTGCAAGCTCGATTCAAACAAATGCCCAGAAAGGATGCGGCAAGGGTGATGCCTCGGCCCCCTCTGAGGCACCAGCCGTGCCGGAGACACCCACGTACACCTCAGCTGCCCCTCAGCCCCTCACCCACTCGACAAACTCAGCCCGTACGATGTCTTGACTTCCAAAAAGACCGGAACACATCGTTGACCCCCAGGTCCTGTTACGTGGGAACATGGTGGCAAGTGCGGATTTGGCCAGCAACTACCGCTGTTGGCAAGCCGGGTGCCGTCACATTTAGAACTCTCCAACGGTCGTGTCAGGCTTGCTGGACTGCTGGAGCTGATCCGAATAAGCAATAACAATGACGGTCTTGGGATGCGTGCTGGTAACAAAGGACACCTGCTATCAAAACATGTGCCTGATGCCGGTTGCAATTGCGCGTGATCTGTTTCACTGTGCGGGCAGCAGTAGCAGTCATAGCCTTAGTGGTCGTATTGCAGTGGCAGCAAGCAGCGGTAGCAGTAGTAGTCATAGCCAGCTTCGCAGCAATAGTAATATCCACCCTAGCAGCAATTGTGGCACAAGTAGCGGCAGAATCGAAACCCTCGGAAGTCAGTCAAAGCTCTGCCGTGGCGATTTCGAAACAACGGAAGCGAGTAAGACGGGAAGAGCGCAAAATTCAATGACTATATATGGAGAGAATCAACGCAACATGCTGCTCCCTGACCCCTCAGCACCAGAGCACGGCAAGCTCAACCGAATCAATGGTCTGCTCAAGGGAAGCCATGGCATCCTACGCATTCTGCCCACGGGGCGGGGCCGCTGCCGTGAGCTGAAATTCAGAGGCGGCAGGTTGTGGTGCAGCGAGCGAGCTCTGTGAATTGTTGTATGAATCCAGCGCGCCACCGTCACAATGAAAAGAAAGGGCAAGGGCACCTGAATGAAGGGCAGGCAAAAGAACCAACCGAAAGGGAAACAGCGCGAACAGCAACAATTGGCTGCAAATGGCCAGCATCTCAAACGGAGTTAGAACGCTCAATGATCACTTGCAAATGATCGTCAGGGCCTGCGCGGCAAACGCCAATCTTGAGCAGTGCCCATGCGCTGGTTTGACATTAAATGTCCCAATGCCAAGCAAATAGGCATCTAGGTAGGCTCAAGCATCATCCCCCCTTCCCCCTGCAGCAAGCTTCTGTGCCGATCTTGCGGGAGGCCGCTCCTCAGCTAGGCCACGAAAACTAGCCATAAACTGGTGACACGCCGCAGAGCTGCACGTCAAATCGTGCAAACCTCTGAACGGCACTAGGGATTTCTGGACGGCTGTTACTGCTCCCCCTGGCCGCCCACCGCGGCGGTGCTGCCAAACCGTTCCCGAAAAGTGCCCCGGCCTTATGCACACAGCACAATTTTGTCGGGTGGTTGTAGCAACGGTGCCAGCACAAAAGAGTGCACGACATGCCGAATGGCAGCAAAGCAGGCAAGGCTGCTTGCATGCCCTGCGGGCTGCCATGAATTCCAGGAAAAACTTTACATTGATTCTAATCGCCAGCATGCCCTCCTTAGTGGGCGCTGCGACGCTGCTTAATTATTTATGCAAAGTTCCATTGGCTGCGGGCTGCATGAACCGCGTCGCTGATGCGATTCAGCTCCATGAGGCTCTCCTTGTAGTCGGCCTGTTTTTTGCTGCATGCAGGCATCTGCGACCACCATCCCCACCATCCCAAGCAACTGTTCTCGGGTTCAAGCGAGCTGGCAACATGGGACCCGCCATGCGACGTGGCGGCTCTCGTCCCGGCCTTGGCGGCCGCGATGCGCTCCGCCACCTGCGCCACCGCCTCCTGCGCCTGCGCCAGTGCCTGCCGCGAAGGAGAGCCAAAGCCTCGGATACGGCGAACGTCGCACAGGCCCACTGGATTCGCACCAAAAACTGCACGAGGATGTTTATAGTTCCCAGTGAACCACTTGCATATACCAATGGAAAACAAATACTATTTGGAATGCAATGCTAGTATACTGATACAAGTTGTCAAGCATCAGGTTCAGGAAGTGCCCCCGCGTCACTTTAAGGTGTATGCAAATCCAAACTTGCACCCAAGCGCGAGACGACCCAAACTACCTGTCAAGCACTAGATCCAAACTAGGGGCCCCCGCACGGTCGGGCGTTTTCAATGGTCGCGGCACCCACTTTCTTGCGCTGTGCTGCTAGCGCCGCACGGGTGCGGCTAAGCTCCTAGCGACTCAGCGAATCAGGGACCCCCCCCCCCCCGCGCCCGCTTTTAGTTGTGGCGGGAGGAAACAACATGATTAGGCCTGAGGCCCCCCCCCCCCCCCCCCGGGAATTTGGACATGCGGCTAAACAGCTCGCTTCCGGAGGTCAAGGAAGCACCTGATGGCATGCTCACTGTACCCCAAGCCAGTTTCTGAATCACGGTGCACAGGTCCACGAAACGTGAACGCCCCGACTTGGCAGCGCCTGGCTGGCAAGCTCGAACTCTTGGTCGCAGCTCCTCAGCTCCTCGCGCAGCAGCCCAGATTGGCCCGCGTCCTGGGCCAAAGGAAAGCTAGGAAAAATAGCATCCCTGGGTGCCATGGAGCCCTATAAAGGCAATGCCCCAGCACCAGGCAGCTAGCCACCTGAGAACCCACTCCGGCAACTGCTCCAGGCTGCCACAAACCACACTCCACTCTCAAAAACATGTGATCTCCCAGAGTCCAAAGGCGAAGAAACCCTCAAACCCTGTGTTGGGGTTGGGCTCCACGAATGTGACCGGGCAGCCTCTCACCCATTCTGCCTGGCCAACGATCCAAGCTGCACACGCACACGCACACCCACCCACACACACACACACAACGCCGCAAAAGTCAAGCTTCTCTGCTCTGGGCCCAGGATCCCAGGCCTCTACCGCCTTCAGCTGCTGCCGCCGCCTCCGCTGCAACTGCCGCACTTGCTGCGCCCGCCGCGTGGCGGCCTCCAGAGAAATGCCGAGGCGAGCCGGCGGGTTCTTAGCATTTCCGGCGTTGAAGCGCTTTGAAGTGCTGGATTCCTTTCAACGGCTCCAGACATTGGACGTGCAAACACTTGCACATAAGGGTGAACACTCTGCGTGGTCCCATGCTTCCATTTGGCGAACTCAACATAGTGCAATTCAGCAATTACAAACGAGGCCAAAACCAGAGTACTGCTGGGGAGGAGTAGCATACAAGAAATACATACGTATACGCATGTATATTATATATATATATATATTATGTGTGTGTGTGTATGTGTGTGTGTGTGGGTGTGTGTGTGTGGAAGTGCAAAACCTGGGCAAAAAAGGCTTGGAAACGCTAACCTGCCGCGAAAAGAAGAAAACAGTTCCCATCTTTCCTTTTCTGAGATGCTGACGGCAAGGAAACTGCTGCGACAATGGCCCCTTACAAGGGACCTCGCGATTGTCCGGTCTGGCGGGTATGTGCACGGCGCCGCCGGCGCCTGGCACTCGCGCAGGGCCTCGAAATAGGGCTTGGCATGATCGATGGCGCCGCTGAGGCTCCCATGCCGCGCGCGCAGCTCATCCTGGGCTCTCCGGCCAGAGCTCACAGCCAAGGCACTCATGATCTGCAAACATGCCAGCATCTTGTGAAAGAAGCAAGGCCCCAAGGACCAAAGGACCAAAGTCATCGCAAGGCCACTTTTCTGACATGGAACACAACTCTTCCGGCCATGGCACGTAAAGGCGGGTCCACTCACTGAGAGCCACCTTGTGTCTCGCTTGCGCTTGGCTGAGCTCGAACTCCAACCTGCAAGCCACCAGAATGAGGTGGAGCGATCGAGAGCTGGGTGTTCTTCCAAGAGTTCACAAGGCTCCGCTGCGGTATTCGGGGAGCAGCACAGCGTTAATTTTATGGCAGGCCGCTGGCATGACTGCCACCAGGGGCAACGACACAAAGTGCCCCTTCGATGCTTGACATGGCCAAGGTTGTGGGAAAGCGCCAGCGCAGGCCTGTTTGTCGCTTCAGCTGCATCGTTCATGCGCTCAAGCAGCCCAGGGACTTGCCTCAACGTAGGCAAGCGATTGAGGTCCTATTCTGACAGGAACACATGTCATGAACGCGGCCATGAACACGCATGAAACCGACAATAAGACTCCAATAGCTCCAGCATGCCGGTCAGGCGTGTTTGTTCTGCACAATCTGCCTGATCAGCTCATCCTCGTCGTGATGCTTGAAATTTGCAGGTTCCTGCAGTGGCAACTACTGCACTTTGAAAGAAGTCAAAAGTGGCTCAGAGCATGTGCTCCTGCATCCTATGTTATGACCAGTGTCCAATGACTTGCTTCCTGATCCATTATTTTCTTCGTCGCCAGCCAACCCACCAGCTGACTGCAGTCAGGCGTCCATGCGGGCGTTCGTCGGCACATCTTGCACATCTTGCTGAAGCACCACTGGCCCGCACATCCGATCCTCAGCCACGCATTTCTCATGAATATCACTCTGAGAAGGTACAAACCACCAAAGAGGAAGTAGATGAAAAGTGGCGCAAGAGCAGCCAAGCTGCTAGACCGGCGAGGGCAGGAAACACGTTTTCCGTGACTTGAGCCAAAGCACCAAAGGCCCCGCGCGAAGTGAAGGCACATTTAACAAAACAAAGTCATCTCACAAAGGCGGCAGTGAAATGAAAGCTCCTGCTTGACTGCGTCGACAAGCCGCCCCAAGGCGGCCTCTGGCAGGCCCAACAGGTCCCCCAAACCGGGTAACCAACCTAACCAACCCAAAACGAGCACGGCCCCAAAGGCCAGAATGGCCTCACTGCAGGGCAGCTGCCCAGAGAGCTCGCAAAGCCGGAAGTACAGGAACTCGGGGCTGGTGGTCAGGGACTCGCCTCTGGGCAGAGGGAGGCAAGGGAGGCGAAGGGGAAAGGAAGGGGAAAGGAAGGGGAAAGGAAGGGGAAAGGAAGGGGAAAGGAAGGGGAAAGGAAGGGGAAAGGAAGGGGAAAGGAAGGGGAAAGGAAGGGGAAAGGAAGGGGAAAGGAAGGGGAAAGGAAGGGGAAAGGAAGGGGAAAGGAAGGTTGGATGACAAAAAGGGTGGAACCACCAGGAGTTGCAAATGTGCGGCATGTGCCTCTCAAATGGCACCTCCCTGACACATTTAGATCCTGCAAGTTCGATCCAGCGCCTGTTGATACAATTGCAATTAGCAAAACCAATGTTGGGTTGGGTTGATCAACATGTCGGCCCTGGGCTGCAAACCAAAAACACGACGAGCCCGAGTTCACACCACGAAGCTCAATGGTAGCTGCACAATCCAATGGGCAGGATGAGACAGGATGAGAATGGCTGAGTACCAACACGGCAGGCTACTAGTCTTCATGCTTGAAAACCGAACAGCAAACCAGGTGGCTGGCTGCAAATGATCACTCCATGACTGAAACGGCCACTCGACTCTTGGGGTGGTGAGCCGGGGGCCAGCAGGAAGGATTGAGAGTGGCAATCCCGGGGCCCTGGGCACCTCTGGCCCGCAGAACTTACCGCTCCGCCCGAGGCTAGCGCAATTGGGCATGCGGTGCGGCTCCTGGAACTCCCTTGGCGCGCCATGAAGTTTGAACATGAACGCGCGCGCGCGCCATGTTGATTCGGAAGATGCATGGTGGAAACACGTTGCAACACGAGGACACCGGGACATCCACAAACTTCTGCGGGGCAGGTATTGCTCTCTCCATGCCGCGCCGAGCTTGGTCGCCCCGGCGCTGGACAGCGGAGCAGCGGAAGAGTTTCAGCCAAAGAGGTCTCAGCCAAGGAAGCCTCGCCCAGGAGCCCCATCAACCCGGCATGACGACCTTTAGCCTTGGGAGTCAACCTAGGTGGAGAGCCCCCAAAAAACATTAACCCCATGCTGTTCAGTCAGCCGCAGATCAGGTGAGAAGCGCTCCATGGCCCCATCCTAACAACGAGACGCTCCAGAGAAATCGACAGCAACCAGCGTCGGTCTGACTGTTTTCACCACACAGCCTCAAGCGGCTGGGATCGTTCCTGTTGGTCGATCAGCATTCATTCTCTGGAGTCGATGTCGGTGTCTCTCTTAGACACCACTGACTCAAAAGAGTACAACAGAATAAAATAAAGGTAAGCAAACGCAAAAAGCATGCAAACCAAAATGTTGCGCAGCAAGGTATCTAAAGGGAGTGGACGTTCTCCCGTCCGCTCGATCAATGCTGAGTTCAGTGACCGATAGGTACTGCAGGCATGCAGTGAAAAGAGGTGAGGGAGGGTGGGAATGAAAAGGCCTTTTCGCCAACATGGCGATCGGTGCATATGCATTCATCACATGCATTGCACGGCACTTGACATTCCAATTCAAGTGCGGGTTCAAGCCCTTTCGCTTGCGGTTGTTACTTTTAACTACGTGTTAACCGCAACAAGGAGACTCTCCAGAGAAATCGACAGCAACCAGCGTCGGTCTGACTGCTTTCACCACACAGCCTCAAGTGGCTGGGATTGTACCTGTTGGTCGATCAGCATTCACTCTCTGGAGTCGATGTCGGTGTCTCTTGGACACCACTGACTCAAAAGAGTACAACAGAATAAAGGTAAGCAAATGCCAAAAGCACGCAAGCCAAAATGTTGTACAGCAAGGTATCGAAAGGGAGTGGACGTTCTCCCGTCATAGGTCAACTCCCGTCGAAGGTGAAGCCGAAGGCGAGCGACCAAGACAAAGAAGAGCAAATAACATTCCTTACCGCAGGGCGGGTCTCCTTACTGGTGTGTGGGGCTCTCACGAGACATTCATCATCATGTGGTATGGGATTGATGGAACTGTTGGAGTTCCGGCATTTCGTCGAACCCGACGTTGTGGGCGAACTCAATGTCGCCTATGATGCGGCACGTGCGTTTGTGCAACGCGTGCATTGGTGGCTGCAAAACTTGCCAGCCGTGTGTGTGTGTGTGAGCCAAGGACATATCATGGTGGCTGAATGGGTCAGCTATGTGTGGGCACACGCGCAATGTGCAATTGCACTGCTGATGATTGTGCCAGGTCCAAGTAGGCAATTCAAAGGTTGGTGTTTGCCTACCCCCCTGCGAATCGCGTGTTTGTCAGCTTCGCTATCGCACAATTGGAGGTACGTGCTAGCCAAGGTCGAAAGATGACCGCACGCCTCGAGGAAATAGATGGCGTTTGTGCCGTGGCTTACCTGCTGTAGCAGATTCGGCGGTAGTGCGCCTGACACGATCTTGGCGCGACCCTCGTGCGGAGTGAAAAGCACGGCTGCCCAACCGTTATCAAGAGACCAGTCAGGGGGGGATGGTTGTGTGGCCGTCGTCCCTTGGCCCGCCAGGTTTGTTCGCCCTGTTTGCAAAAGGCGTCTGTGTAAATGATGGCGAGGGCATGAGCCGTGTCATTGAGGGTGATGCTCCGGGGGGAGCTGTGCTGGAGAATGTTAAGTAGGCTCAGAATGGCAGCCCGAGTGGGTTTGTTGATCTTGTCTGATGCGCTGTGAGCTTTGTGGCGCAGAGCCGACAGAGCTGATCGACCCACTCGGCCGAACAAGTGGCCGGTAATGAAGTTACACTTCCCGGCTGAATCAGGCGTCGTACCCGGTCCGGGCAAGGCCGTAGCGTTGCTTGTGTGTCGGACAGGTCGGTGAACACACCCTGAATCTTGTGCGATGGTGCCGGCGGCTGCTTTTTTGAGGTTTTCATATGGAAGCAGAGCAACGACTTCAAGTCGCTACATGCCTCGAAGGAGCTCTGTGAGATGCCTGTGGGCTGAGTAGCGCCGTAGTCATCCACGTAATGGAGAGCAGGTGTGAGGGCAAGCACACGCGCCAATGCGGTGAGAGCGCCGCCGAAGCGGTTGTATCCTCACACGCTGGCTGCAGATCCGAAGCGCAACACGTGGTGGTGCCATAGCGTGGGCCCGTCGGGAGTGAGGAGGAGCACATACGCGACCTCTGGTTGCGCCAGGGGTAACTGACGATATGCGCCGTCGTGGTCGTGGCCCCGCACGTGTAGTTGCTGTTGAGAGTTGGTGTCTGCGCTGTGTAGTGATCGGGTGTGTGATGGTACGGTTGATCGTGCGTGGAGCAGGTCTAGTATCCTCGCCTCGTCGGATTTTGGGTTTCCTGTCGGAGCCCGTCTGTTGTGCACTAAACGCGATGGCGACAATGGGATTGGGGCGCGGTAGTGGAAGGAGAGTGTCGGTATGTTTGAAGGGACGGCCTTGGACTGCCAGCGCGTCGTCGCGAAGAAGGGCCCTGCCATCCGGCCCTGTTCGACCTCCTTGGCGATTTCGGTGGCCATGAGCGTCCAGCGGTCGTGGACCTTGTGTTGTTTGAGTTTGCGCTGTGTGTGTTCGTGATTGAAGGAGCGCAGCTCGGCCAGGTTGCAGGGGGTCAAGTGTTTGTGGTCCTGGCGTGTGCGCCAGTTGACCCCTGGCCGTAGTGGGCCAAGTAGGTCGAAGCCGTTGGACATTTCGTCGTGGACGTTCTCCCGTCCGCTCGATCAATGCTGAGTTCAGTGACCGATAGGTACTGCAGGCATGCAGTGAAAAGAGGTGAGGGAGGGTGGGAATGAAAAGATCTTTTCGCCCAAATGGCGATCGGTACATATGCATTCATCACATGCATTGCACGGCACTTGACATTCCAATTCAAGTGCGGGTTCAAGCCCTTTCGCCTGCGGTTGTTACTTTTGACACAGGCGTTAACCGCCACCACAACGTTTGCCTGTTTGCCTTGTCCCCCTCCCTCCCCCGCCTCTCGAAACACCCCATGTGGCTGGAAGCTTCGGCTTGGAGGGCCTCAGTGCTCAAGGTTGCCTCACTTGGCTTTCCCCATGTGTCTGAAGTCGCGAGAATCCAGAAAAAATCCATCACTCCTATCCTCGTAAGCCAGTTGGTCTGCTACGGATGACTTCATACCTTTCTGAGATGGTTGGTCAGGAAGAGGTTCGCTTGTAGCAGTGTTGGGTCGGTGGCAGTAGATGGCACCCTCTTATACAAATCATGTCAGAGTAGGTCAAACATATATGGGCAAAGGAATGCGCTTCTGGTATATTAACTCTATTGGGCCCCTTGGCAGCCTTGGTGCACACGATTAACTCTGCCCAACGCCTGGACTTCGGAAAGTCTATGGGCCTCAGCCTCGTAACTAGAACAGCTTGAAGGGGTACGCCTCCCACCTGCTCTAGGCCACACGGAGGACCTTAACCACACACAGCCCATTCGCCCCTGGAGACGCACCAATGCTCATGACGCTGGCCGAGGTGATGTCGCGCATGGACCTTAGTTGCGACCCAGGGGCGGTCATGACCAGAATGAAACTGCGCCAAACCTGTGAACACAGCAGCTGGACATGTCAGCTGCGAACCATTCAGCTGCACCGTGACGCTGTAGCAATGGCTGACATTCTCATCCAAAAAGCTTCTTGTGGCCAAGACGGCTAAGACCCCTGACCCCTCTCGTTCACTTTCACTCAAGTGATACGTTGCGACTTCTGTGACATTGGCTGTGCGATGCCACCTGACTTTCCTCATGACTTGGCCAAACAACCTCCAAGGGACAAACAAAGCATTGTGGATGACGCACGCACCACTGACACCGGCCCTCCACCAGATTCCCTTCGGGCCAAGTTCCCTTCGGCCCCAACTTCCTCCGAATTTGATGAAAACGCTTCATCAACGCCACAACACTCTGAGGCTGCTAGCTTCACAGGCGAGCGTGGCAGCTCGGAGTCCTGCCGGGCTGAAGCCAGCATGTCCAAAACACAACAAAGAAGGCCACAGGCGTCGGTCCCTGGACGCTGGAACATTTGGGACCGACTGGCTTGATGGAGGATGGCCGCTGCTAAAGTCGATTGCACTCCCATCGGCATCATGCGCCCATGGCCTCGTCATTGTACTCCTCTGCGCCCTCGGCGCCACCAGCAGTGCTGCCTGGAAGCGGGAGAATGGCAACTCAGCCCCCCCCTTGATGTGGGAAAGAGAGACCTTGCAAGCGCTGGTATTGAGCACTGCTCACTTGCACGAAGCTGAAGGCAGCTCACGCAAGAGTTTGTGAGTGCTGCACTTTCGGAGTCGGTGTTTGCAGGTGGCTGCGCAAGACCAAAGCAACGACAGCTTTTGCATATTCAACAAGCCGCGCCACACCCCTACCTAGTTCACACATTTGCAACAATTGTCAAGAACCGGTTGTTCTGTGAACTCTGCGGGGCAAAATGAGGGCTGCCGTTGAACACGGCTGGCTTTCTCAGACTGGTTTCCAAACTTGATTTTGAGTTGGGGGCGCCCTCGTCGTTAAGCCCATGCGGTGTCGTCCTCTCCGCTTCTTGTTCGAGCAGACTCCCAGCTAACATCATGAGGGCCATACGCAAATAGACATTTGCTACATGCTCGCCTTGGAACTCCGAACAACTCGTCCAATCCACAGTGCAAAAACATCTTTGTGACTTTTCAATGAGTTGCAGTTGCGAGGGAACTTCTGGCCATGTCAAGCGTCCAGCAAAAGCTCCCCACGCTCAAGCTGAGTTGCAGACAGGGGGCACCCCTCCAAAATGACTTCATACTTGGACTGCGGTCTGTGAGGGGTTCTTGCTCAATCAAATCAAGCAGTCATGAGCCCAAGCGCCGGCCTTCAAGCAGCGGGTTGAGCTTTCGCCACCTCCTTGGCACCAGCCGCCGCGACTTGCTCCTCCGCCGGGCCAGCATGGGAGCCCGAAGGGGCGCTTCTGACATGAGGTGCGGTTTCTTGCGGCACAGCTTTTGGATCGGATGGGGTAAGGCTTTCTGGGCCTCATCTCGCTAGAGACTGGCTGAGGACAGAAGGGCAGGGACGCACCAGCTCAGCATGATTGCACTGGCCCTACAACAACTCGCCAAAGCAACGCATGCTGCGACAAAGGGATTGCAGCCCGGCAACTGGAAGTAAAGAGCCCAAGTTTGGGTGGGGCAACCTGACACACAGGGGCCTTAAGCTGAGTCATTCCAGTCGGATTCCCTGGCAACTCAGGCGCCTCTCCCTCTCTGCCGGAGCCGGCGGCAGCACCGGCAACGGCACGAAGCCGTTTCCAGCCTTGCTCACCCAGTCACCCAGCCGCGCAGATTGAATGACTGGCCGTAACATCCCGTAACCCTCAACCGTCCACCTGTGCAAAATGTCTTCCGACATCAAACCCGAACCCCCCTAGCGCAGCACGGCTGTCAACCACCAAAACAGCAAGCATGCAAGGCAGAGCTGGGTGAGATCCCTTCTGCCCCACGCCAACTATACATTTAAACCACACACACACACTTGATATGAGGCAGTTCAAAAGCAAGACAACCACAGACAAGGAAACCGCAAACAAGGAAACCCACAAACAGAAAAAGGAAAAGGAAAAAGGAGTTTCGTCGGCTTACCTTCCCGATGCTTTCCCAAGTCGTGGCTGCTCGTCAGAGCCTGCATCACCACCACATGGTACTAACAAAGGGGGCCGGTTCGCCGGTGCAGGCTGACTCCAAAAAGGAACAAAAACCCAGAAAAACAGAAGAAGAAGAAGAAGAAGAGGCCCCTTAGGAACCGGGGGCTCACACACACACACACACCATCACCCAGCCCCCACCCCTCCGAAACATCCGCTGCAGATAGATCTGCATCTGGCCCCTCCAAATCACAGAGCCTTCCTGGAAAAAGGCGCCATCATTGCGACCAAAGCAACGAACTACCCAACCAAAAAGCCCTGCTTCAAACCCTCCCTCGCAGCTACTGGCCTGCCCAGCGTGCCAGCAGCGGAAGCGGTGCGTGATTCGCTCCTGGAAGCGGCCAAAGTCCTGGCACTTGCACTTCACATCGATTCTGCGGGCCCGCACGGATACGGGGGCCAGGTATGAATGCATAGGCCCGGAAAGCCATCAAAACCCGTGGCCACCACTTGACCCCGTGTCTCATTTCCAGCTCGGCATTCGCAGGAAACCACTGCCTTGAAGACTTCGCCAGAAGGCCTGGGCCACAGAGACCAGTGCGGGTTCTCTGCCAAGCCCAAATTTCTTCACTGCCATTGTGGGGGACTGGCAACTGAGTCAAGTGAAGCCTTCTGCAAGCCGTCAAAGCATACCCAGCAATGTTCCCCCAAACTCCCCAAGCCCAGCAACATGCCAGACTTGTAGCCTGCTCAGCGTAAAGACTGGGCTGCAGGCTGAAGCCAAGACTTGGCCTGAGCGAGAAGGCTGGACAAGGCTGCACGAGGACCGTTGAAAAGCCGCCCTTCGCTGGATGATGGAAAAATAGCGTCAAATCCTGTAGTTCAATCATGCCAATGTTTACCCGACCCACGCCAGCCGCGCAACAATACAAGAAAACCTGGGGCCGTGGCCCATTCAGACAGCACGTCCTCCTCGCCTCCCCTGGCAGGCTGCAGCGGTCGGAAGAAACGCTCTGTGAGGGCCTTGTGCCGATTCTTGATTGATTCTGAGCGGAGGGAAAAACACCCAAGCGGCACGCAAACTGGCAAGATTGAAAACACAGGCACCAAACGGCCATGCGCGCTCGGGAGACCAAAGCATGCGCAGCTGGACCGCGACAGCTTCTTCGTGAGACCTGGCAGCGTCATATCTTTCCTCTCGGATCGAAACATGTATGCAGATCTGTCTGGTCTTGCGCCGAACTAGGGTTTGGTCACCTTCTCCGCTAGTCTGCCCAAGCGGGCTGGAAATTCCAGCCTGACTTGCACGGCTTGACCTAAGTGGCGAGAGAAGGTCCAGCAACTCATAAGATCCGGGGGAGAAAAAAAAACTGAGACAAGTTCCGCTGCTTTGCTTGTTGCATATTGACATGCCATAAACATGCTCTCGCCTCCCGCATTCCCTCTGCCATGACGACGCCTAAATTGTCCAGCTCGCGCCCGGCAGTTGTGAATGCCAACGCCCCACCCCACACACAAAAACAAGGCGGCAGTCGCACGAGGTCCAACTGACTACATGCTTATCTATGGTGCAAAATGCGACCCAAAGGATACAAACGAGCGCGAACAGCACCGCTGCTCTGCAATCACGTCAGAACTTGGGCCCCGGGCGGAAGTTTCCGCCCGCACCCCAGCAGCCTTCCGCGGCTTCAGCTGCTCGGCCTCAAGCGCGGCCGAGCGGCCGATGGGCCGACGACTGGTGGCTCCAGGGATTCAACAGGATTGGATCCCCTAGTAAGGGGCTAAGGGACCATCTTGGAGCTTCTGCCCCACGCTCAGTTATGTAGATGAAAGTGTTTGCATATGAAAAGGCCTTGTTCTCCCCAACGTGCAAAATGTCCCATAAAGTCAAGATTGATATACCGTGCGGTAGGAATCGATTTCGGGGGGGGGGGGTGCCATTCAAAGGAAAAGTGGAACATAGGCTAGGGTTCATCTAGGCCAAAAGGTAGAAGCTGATAGGAGGCCTGGGCTATGTTTGACCCGGCTTTGCCAATCCGCCAGGAGCGATTTTGCCCAATCGCCCAATTGCCCTTGGCGCCACGCCACTTCCAGCAGGAACCGCGGCGCTACAGTCTCTGCAGCCCTCCAGATGCGATGTCAAACGAGCGGAACTTCTAGATAGCAAGTGCGCGTGCCGCAGTGGAAGATGCCGATGGCAAACAACTTGAAGAAACCAACTGGTGTCTCAAATTAAGCCCCCCCCACCCCCCGCCCCCCAGTGCTGCCTTGCAAAAGCAAAGGAGGAACCATTTTCAGATGCACCCGCACCCCTCCAACGGTGGCCACCAGCCCGTGCCCCACCCCTCACTCCTGGGCGCAGCTTCCAGCACCTTGGTGCATCGTGCGACGGCACCTCTGATGCCACGGGTGCCCCGTGGCTGGCCAAAAGACTTGCATCGACATGGGCGAAGTGCACTTTTCCGTCCACAGATGATGTCCGCAGGTGTGTCCTGGAAAATGCAACTGGGTGGGTTTCAGTTGGGACTTGAAGGCAACTGGATACTGCAGCAACTGTTTGGCCTGGCAATTCCGGGCCCGCCAGGGGGCGAAACTTCAGCCAAACGCAGAAAGTGCATTGCTGGGGCAGGCGCCGGCAGGTCGCTGCGGCTGTACAGCGCCTGGCCAGCAAAGACCGCCCGAAGCGGGCGATCAGAAGCTGCGCGGGGTTAAAAAACACTCTTTTGTATTTGAGCTGGCTTTTCCTTTGAGACTGTCGATGGGGGAAAACCTCCACTGGTCGTGCATTCCCCTTGTACTCGGTTTCTCTTTCACATCCAGGCAGTTGTGGGGGTCCAAATTGTCAGGGGAAAAAAAGAAGAAAAAAAACATTGGCCGCCCCCAACTCATCCGGAAAGCCACCTGAATCCTCTTGTCAGCATAAGCTCCCGCTTCAAGATCGTCAGGCTGGCCGCGCGACGGGCCATCGCAGCACTAACCTGGGTGTGCAACATCAAGCCTCGCTGCCTGTGGGGAGACCGAGTATCCGACAGCCACTCCCACACCATTGTCCAGCAAGCAGAAGGCTTCGTCGAAGTCACTCAGCGCCTGGGGCCTGATGGCGCACATAGAGTTGCAGACGCTGACACCTGCACAACACACACACATGAACTCCCGTAATTGAGCAAATGAACCATCGACAGTCACTGCAAACCAACCACAGGGCGAACATCTCCCAACTACATAAGGGTGAGCCTGCTTCACTCTAAGAAAATAAACTGCAGTCTCAGCGGCACCCGCCTTTCCCTGCTTCCCTGGACCCCTCTGAGCAATCATGCGGGAACTCCGCAAGGGCCCTGATGATATCGTTTTCCTCCTGCCACGTATGGCGAGCCGGCGTGCGCTTTGCCCTCTGGCCGCTGTCATCAATGCAGACAAACGCATTTCAACATGGGCACCGCCTCACTGAAAGGCAATGCTGCAAACGTAGCCAAAATAAAGAAGCCCGAGCATGTGCAACTCCACAAACTGTCGCGACAAACTCAGATTCGGTCACATTGAGAAATGTGAGACCTGTCATACTCGTAGCTGCTTTTTTCGTTTGTTGAACAATCCTGCCACCCTTGGCCACTAAAGACCGGTGGGGCGCTCAATCAACGACTCGCGTCTCACGTGGCGGCCCTCTGGAACTGCCATGCCAAAGCCCCAGGTCCTGCTGCCTGCATGAAGGCTTTGGGCCTGGCTGTGCCATGCCCACAGACTGTCTAGGCACGTTGAAAGCCCAAGCCGGTCCTAACGAGACAGAGCAACCGCCGACCCCCTCAAAGACTCGCATCGTGGACAGCGGGGATCCTAGCTCTAGCTGCCCATTTTCCAACATGTGAAAGCCACCTTTTCCGGGAACAAGCGAAGCGACGATGACAAAGGCGGCAAAAGCGCCTGCCACAGGCCTGGCGAGCAAGGCGTAAGATGCTGCTGCTCACTTAGCATGCAGGGGTTTGGGGTCCCAAAATTGGAACTTTGACGGTGGTGGTCAAGAGACCCCCTTCGAAATGAAGGCAACATGCCAATCCTTTCATGTTCTACCCACGCAAATCTGCCCGGCCAGGTCCGCGCACTGCTCACACATCAAAGCTGCTATGTTCCCCATAGTCAGGCCCTCACGGAAAGGGCTAAGTCCTTGCCGACATGTTGGACAGGGGCTAAGTCCAGGCCTCACTCAGCCAACCAAGTTCCCAATTGAGCGCCCGGCTTGAAAGTCTTCCGCCGCGCTTGGTTCCGGGCCTCGGGGCTGGAAGCGATCGGTCGAGCTGTGATCCCCCATCGACGCATCGACGTGAAGCGCATGCGGCTCCGGGAAAGTTGCCCTTCCTCAGATGCAGCGGGAGGTCTGAAAAATCAATTGCCGGAATCTGCGCTCTGTGTCGAGGGCCAGGCCCTTCAGTTATGAGAGGTGAGAGTGAGAGAGAGAGAGAGAAAGAAAAACAAAAGAAGAAAAAAACAAGGAAAAACACTTGCTCACCAAATGTTCAGGGCGCAGTGAATACCGACCGTCTGTCAAGGTCCCATTTTGTTTCATGTTCCCTTCCAAGGACTTTGTGAACCTAGCCATGTTTGCGCCTGGCTTCTTTCTTTTCTGCGGGAGCAAGTAAACACTTCACCTCATGACCACGAATCACCATAAAGCACTTTGGCACCCCGAGGTCTCTGACATGAAAGTCCATGGCATGAATGGAAGCATCGGTCACCACACCGGGCGCCCACACATCGTCGATGATCGAGGCGCGTGCCCGGGCCTCCTGTGCAATCACGAACAGGAGCGGAACGGTTCAAAATGGGCGGCCACACAAAACGGTGGCAAGTTTGAAATGCATGACTCAAGCTCCAACTAAATTCAACAATATCTGCTCGGCCACAGCCATACACTGCCCATCGGCTGTCAAAAGCCCACGCCCGAGCCTTCTTCATCCCAGGCCTCAGCCAAGGTTTGCAGGCCACGCAGCTCCGCGAAGCACCACGAAACACGCGACATCCGCTTGGAACATGCGCCTCTTGTGGGGTAACCTGTTCCGAAGATGTAGGGCCCGCAAATGTACAAGCAAGCCCTGCAAAAGGATATTTCCCAGGGAACCGCTGGCCAAAAGGGTGGCGGCTAGCCCCCGTTGCAGCAGAATACAACCCAAACAAATCGCAACACGAAGTGGCAAAAATCAGGCATGAAAGCTTCCGGGCGAGCGTCATTGCTGATTCTGCGAGCTGCTGGCCATCTATCGTACCACAACATCCATTCGTAAATACTCTCCATCAACACCTTTTGGATTGCTGGAACTGAAACACGTCCACTTCGACAAGAGCACGGCGCCCCGAAATGGACAAGCAAAACATCCACAACGCCCTACCCTTTGCCGTCCTGGAAGCTTTCGTCTTGGTTTACTTACCTCTTTGAGGACCTCCCCAGGCTCCCCCTAGGCTTCCAACGCTGGCTTCGACTGCATCTGATACTCATGGCTCGCCCAGACTTCCCCACTCTGCAGCCCTTTGCAATGTCCGCTCAGGTCATTGGCCAAGCTTTGCCTATGGGAGCACTGCGCGCGGCGACCTGCTCAAGGACAAGGCTCCCGAATGTGTCAGTCGCTTTGATGGAGTGCTTTGCGGTTCTGCCTCTGTTGCTCCTGGGGCCTCTGCAAAAGCAGAGGGTGAAACGCGTGCTCGGGCCGAGTCACACAACAATGTGAATGGGTTTAATGTTGCATGCCGGGTCTCAAATTTCATAGCATGAGCCCCATTCGGGTCTGCAGTGTGGGCCTCAATGGTTACTCGCCATGGTGCCGCTGTTTGGCGGCCATACTGGCTCTCTGTCAGAGCAGTCTGGCCTGCGAAATCATGCATTACATCTGCGAAAACCTGCAATAGCTTGGAAACTAAAGTCGTGTTCATGGCCGAGTTCACTTCATTTTCTGCTGCCACACAGCCTGGAGCGCGCGCTCTTCCTTTTCCGCCGCTCCCAGTCGCCCACATCACGGTCCCTGTCCCATGGACTGAAGAAAGCCTTAGAAGCACCTGAGCCGGCCATGACATTCCACCCAAGCAATTTCTTAGCCACTCAAGACCTCTCGCAAGCCATCATGCCACCATCCTCAGCTACCAGAATTAGTATGAGGGTCCTTTTCAAAAGCATGACATGAGCAAAACGCGAAGAGCCCAGCCCCACTGCAACTTACCTATCTGCCAATCAGAATGATTCAGGTTGAGCTCCGGGAGAGCTAATCGCTTTGCACAACACGCAAGTCAGCCGCCCTAGGTGGGAGGAAGGGAACAAGAAGGAACACCGGGAGGGCCGATCTCTAGCCGTTCGCTGCAAGATCCGCTCAGCTGGAGACTCCCCAGCTAAGCATTGAGGAAAACTTGCACCAAGCAACACCCTTTTCTTGGAGCTCGGTCTGCCACACACGCAAACCAGCGCCACCGCCAGGACGCGGTCAGTTGCCCCTTCGCCCTCTGCAAGTGGATAGCACGCAACCGTGGACGCCAGGGAGCAGAAGCAGGATTAAAGGGGAGGAGGAAGCCGACTGCTGCCACCGTGGGAACGTGGGACAGCCGGACACGAGCCGGCGCACAAGCACCAGCCGGCACTGCTGCCATGCTTGAACGTGGGCCGCAAAAAACAGTCCCTTCGCCAAACAAGCAGACCCACGAGCCGCCTTCGAGCACAGGCCAGACAGCTTTGCCAGCGTGCCTGCGGCGGCTTGCGCAACCTGCATCAACAAATCAGTTAGCCACCACCACAAAGCGACCAGTACACACACACACACACCCACGCACAAAGACACACACACACACACACACACACGCGCGCACACGCACACGCACACGCACACGCACACGCACACGCACACGCACAGGCACAGGCACAGGCACAGGCACAGGCACACGCACACGCACACGCACACGCACACGCACACGCAACACACACACACACACACACCTTGGACAGGCGCTGCCAGTAGGCATCTAGGACGCGGCCGAGCGAGCCACAGCCCAGAAGGCTGGGAGCAGACGTCCCCATCCCAACCACTCACGAGTGAGGCCATGCAACTGGCTCATGGCTGCAACCATGGACAGCAGGCAAGACAGAAGGCGTGGGCAGTGAAGGAGAAGAAGTGGCCGGAGGCAGCTGCGTCGACGCCCAGCCTTTGCCAAAGATGGGACGGCAGGCGCGCAGAAATGATGTGACGACCTACCGTGTCCTGCGCCAGAGTGGCCAAGAAATCGGCCAGCTCTTGCTGCTGCGAGGAAACCCGCCACCAAACACTCAGAGCGCAAGAGCCAGCTCCGGAATTCCCTGTTGTTCAGCAGGCCAGTCATGCGCCTGTCCAAATCGCCCATACCACGAGCGGCAAAAGCCAGACAGGGTGCGAAAAGGCTGCGGAGAAAACAATCCCGAATTTAGAAAAACCGTCAACGATCATGCGTGCTTGCATCGGTGTAAGCCCGGCACTAGGCAAGCCGCAGCGCGCCAGGTGGGGGCGGTGCACAAAGTGGTCTGCGGTGGTCCCACAGCTGTGCCAAATGAAGCACGCCTTAATCTTCAATGCATTCGCAGGATGGCTGTCCAAAGAATAAGGCCCCCTAGAATTCACCGGCAATCCAGCAACAACTGTGGGAGGCTGAAGGATCGACATTTCAGCTGGCCGCGCCAGCGGGGCATCTAGGAGCCGGGGGCGTGAGCCCAAAATTGCGGCTGCCAGAATGATACCATTCTCACGCAGGGCACCAAAGAAGCAACCAACCCATGGTGCGGCGTAGGCAAGGCCAGTCCTTGGCAACATGCGTGCACCTGCGCTACAGCAGTCCAACCATTCTGTGGACTGAGGGTGAGCTATGCTCAAATTGGGCACTCTGCCTCTTTATTTGTTTTTTGTGTTTTTTCATTGTTTTCTGTGAAAAGCACATTTTGGCTTGGAGAAGTCTCGGTAACAGCACACCTGCCTGTTCGGGTGCCCCCTGCCAAGTGCACCAGTCTCCAAGCCAACCTTGGCCAGGCCAATAGGTGCCTGGCCCTCAAAAAGCCTGCAACTACGGTCCTGAGGGCTCAGGAGTGCCCCTTTCCCGTGCTGGCACACCTCGAGCTTCCGAGAAACCTCGGCAACACGCGCCGTGCCAAGAAGCACCCTAAGTTCTTGAGATTCTTTATCCCATTCTCGCACTTCCCCGCCTACTGCGTGGGGCAGTCAGGCTTCTTCTCCGGGACCTGCCAGGCTCAAAAAACGGCACAAACCACGGTGATTGCAGAGATCGGCTCCAGTCACACGTTGGCAAAAACCGGGCCACGCCTCTCCATCGCCACCAGCACTGGCAGCCACAGGCCCTGCATCAGGTTCCTGCGTGGGACAGGAACACATAGGCAAGCAGAGCGCTTTGGATAATCAAGTCAGGGGTCTGGCAAGCGCCATCTTTTTCTCGCCCATCTGCTGCATCACATTGACGTAAGCCGCATTCCGCATCCTACGGGAGTTGCCCACCTCACTGCCTGTGGCAGGGAGGCGCTTGAAAGCTCTTGAGCACAGACGCGGCAGCACACCCTCCAACATGGGAAATGGGGCTAAAGGTCTTTGACAATCGCTATCAGTGACACATCATTCCAAAACCAACTGGTGCTCTAGTTGGTCAACTCTTCCACAGAGCTCAAGAAATTGCTGATGAGCGGAATGCGTGGCCAATTGCCAATCTCTTCCGATTCAGGCAGGCTGTAAAGAGAACCGAGGCGGAAATTGAAGGAGATCAACGACTATGCAAACCAATCAAGCCCCAATTGCCCAGCCGAGAACTATGGACTCCCTTGCTCCGCGCATGGTGATGCAGAAGATCGTGGCCGGACCACTAGGCGACCGGGTCAGACGAAGAAGCAGTCGGCACACAGCTCGTCAACTCAAAGGCCCATCTTCCTCCACGTGCTGCTGCGCATACTCCTCAACTGAAACCTGCGAGGATGAGGCTCCCCGGCGGCTGTGGCCAACAAATTTCAGACCCGCCGCCTGCATGAACCCTTGCCGACTGGTGGAAAACTGAGGTAACAACTCGTCTTCAAACCGCCAATACTTTGAAAGTGCCGAACAATCCTCGAAAGGCTCATTCCTAATGTCCCCTATGGTTGGAAGTTGTTGAAAGGTCTCGCCGCAAACGCTGCATGCCCTTCCTTCCTTCCCTGCGACAGTAAAGCACGCCAACGGAGAAACTCCGAACCCAAATGTTTGCGAGTGTGCGTTGGGACCTGCCGGGCGTTTGGCCCGATGTCCCTGCTTGCGTGCTTGCTTGCCAGGCTCAAGCCTGAAGCATCCGAATCTGCTTTGCAAACAGCCCGATGACCCGGCCGCGCGTGCGCAAACATCAATGCAACCAATATGGCTCAAAATGTCTCAATACCACAAGTCAGCAAAGCGGTCTTGTTTTCCACTCTGTGAGAGTTACAAGCTACCTGAGCCAAATAAGTGGCAGGCGGATTGCATCATGAGTGGAATACTGTGCATCAAGCACAGAACAAACGAGAAACAAAACAGACAAAAATGTCTTTCCACTCATGCCATTGGGCGATTTCACCACTCAGCTCAAAATCCTAGAGTATGCGGAATAGTGCAGTGTCAGCACATTGGGATCCACACCGAAGCGAAATGAAAAGAATTTGGTTTTCCCTACAACTTCAAGCACTGAGGAGGAGGCACACTACTTTTGCACGGGCTCTAACTGGTGACGGGCCTGCTCAATTTCTGGGCTGGGAAGATTTGAATATGTACACGAGTCGGTATTCGAAAGGATACTGACTACGCCTAGAAACATTGTGAGAATGTCCGGAGATCTGGCGCGAAAAGAAACAGAAATTCCATATGCAAATTGTTACTCATCACCATGTCCTTAGGACAACCTCACTGCACCATTTGAATGTTGGTTTACTCCTAACTGAGCATCCACGTTCCTTCTCTCTCCTGCGTTTCACTGCTGACATTGCTGCTCTCATGGTCAATATAGTCAGGAAATATGCTTTCCAGTGGTTGGTTTTCGTCTGGGTACGTGTCTGTCATCGGTGTGTTTTTGTCAAAGATCTTGCATGTGGTTGGTCTTGGCCCAGTGGGAGACGTTGGCTACCAAGCAGTCGAGGCAGCGGCATGCCGCCTTGCGCTGGTATGATTCTGTCTGCTGGCCTGTCGATGTGAATTTGCTCTGCTGTGGGTGGTTGTCGGAGAACTTGAATACCGTGGATCCGGTCCACATCCCTGGCGCTGTCTTTGGCGAAGTTGCCTTGATTCGCCAGTTATCTTCAATAGAAGATACTGGTTCTTATCTACTGGAATCGTTTTGTTGTTCTCTGGTTGTGAATGTGTGTGTGTGCAACGGGACAAGTCTTGCTAGTGTCAGGCGCGGCGCGAACAGTGATCTCCTCTTGGACACATGAACTGTGTGGGGTTCTTTGGTGGTGTGATTGATTATCCAGCGGTCGTCGTTGTTGTGTCCAATGGTTTCCGTTATCTCTGCTGCAAGCGTGCAGAGCTAACCAGTTCCAATACGAAACCTGCTGGGAGCTACAAAAATCTACAAAAAAAGCTAAAAGAAAGCTGACAAAACTGAAAAACAACTCGCGAAAAAGGGCTAAGGCAAGAACTGCTGACAAAAAGGCAAATGCATCATTATGAGGCAGTCCACCCATAGGCCCGCGCCATGTTGGAAGAACGTTCACTTGGGCGGCTGGGTGGCTGGGTCGCTTGCCTTCGTCCACGAGATACGTTCAGTTGCGCGCGCGTTGAACGCACGAACGGCAAGATCAAGACAGGGCCGGCCTTTCACAAAGTATGCACGGGGACACCGCAGAACAATCCCTAGTCTTCGCTGGCCCCTTCACTGCTTGCCTGGCCATTTCTGCAATCACGCTACTACTTTTCAGCTAAAACGTTCATGGCGCGCGATGGCCTTTGTGTCACATTTCACGCACTAAGGCAGCCAGCGTGACAAAAGTGTTTGCAGCCCCCCAAACCCTGCTGAAATTTACAACAAGCCAAGAAATGGCGCCAAAGCTACAAAAAGCTATCTAACAAAAGCTAGCAAAAGCTAACAAATCTACGGTTGCTTTGGCTGGGTTTGCCAGGGAACCATTGGTTGGGTTCGAATAAAAGGAACTACTGTTCTATTCTGAGGACCACTAGGCACTTTGGCCCCTGAGCCGAGATGTCGACAGGAGGCTGCGTGGCTTCCTGCGCATCTACGATCCACGGCAATAGTTTTGTCGATCTTGCCGGTAGCAAGGTTGCGGTTGCCTGGCTTATCCCAATAGGATTGATTGGTGGTGGAATCATCGGCCACGCTGGCCTTTGCTGCCTGACTGTGGTTTCTTGAAGGGTTGGAACTGAGGGAGCTGGATGCCTCCTAAGTTCATTTTGGATACCTATCGTTCTCGCTGGTGTCAGAATGTTGTTTGACAGTGGAACAGGAGAACCAGCGCCGCTACCGCAATTAGGGGGACCCAACTCACTCGCAATGAACACCTCGTAGGTGCAGAATGAACATGTAATGTAAGAGGTACATGACCAACTATGTATGTCAGCGGTCTTTGGTACCCAAAAGAACCAAGGTGTCTCAATACCACAAGTCAGCAAAGCGGTCTCGTTTTCCTGTCTGTGAGAGTTACAAGCTACCAGGCGTTGAGCCAAATACATGGCAGGCGGGTTGCATCATGAGTGGAAAAATGTGAATCAAGCACAGAACAAACGAGAAACACCCCTTTTTGCCTTGCCGCTGCTTTCTGTTTTCTTTTCCCTTCAGCGCCTGCGCCGCCAGCAGGTGGCTCCGCGTGGCATCCGGGCAGATCCGCAAAGCCTCGCGCAGCAGCGACCGCAGCCGAGAGAGCCGCGGGTCCTGACTGACCCTATGGACCAACAATGCACAGGCACGAACTGCAACTGCGTGCTTCATGTGCCAGGCGGGCCAGGTGGGCCAAGTGGGCCAGGTGGGCCAGGTGGGGGTCGGAGAGGCCCGTGAAAGACCCCAGGTGTCGCAAGAAATGCCTGCAGCCTTAGAACCGTCCTCCGAGCAGCTCAGCACCGAGGGCCGGGAGAGCACCGAGGGCATGGAGGGCACCGCGCTCACTGCCGACTCGCTCTTCGCAGTGGGCGAGGCCTCGGCCTCCGGGAGCCTGCGGAAAACCCACCCCAACCCTTTGCTTCCACACGCACATTCTCCCAACTAGGCTAACCAAGCCGAAAGGAACTGCCCAACGCTTTTTAAAGCAGTATGCATTTGTGGTGGTACATGGCGTGAGGGACACGTCGTTTGAGCCACCTGTGTTCTCCAGGCCCGTGTTGCAATTTTCCCGTGCTTCTGCATCTTGTTCAAAAAGCAGCTTAAGGCTAAATTGCACGTGCATGCCACCAGCCCTCGCCCAGCCTGAGAGAAACGCTCCGCCGCGCTGCATCTGGCACTGCACTGCGCTTGCAGACTTGCAGGTTGACCTCTTTCCCAGTGAAGAAGCTGAAGCTGTTGTCCTGCCGCAGTGTAAGGAAAGCTCAAGCTGCACGAAGACAAATCCCAGCATCTGTTCAGCATCAAGTCATTTTGCACGTAATATTGTCTAAAAGTTGGTTGAGGATTGGATAAACAAGAAAATGAAAGAGAAACACGATAAAAGCCTGGAAACAAGGATAATCATTATATAAGCTCTGTCTCATTATTGTGATTTCCCTTCATCATTGTATCATGTCTCTAATTCTCTTTCCGGTTGATATCTTATTGTCATTCAAATTGGAACAAAACGAGTTCTCTTTCCATGTGATATCTATAGAACTGTGAAGCAATTGAAGATTAGAAGAGTTCATGAATTATAGAAATGCTTGCAAATGATCTCCCCGACAACTTACAAAGAATTCTGCTGCTTCAGCTGTCAATGCGTCCTACAGAAAGAGAAAGAGAACTGAACGGAGAAGGAAAGAGAGCGCATACCTCTCCACACCCCAAGCAAAACTCAAGGTGCAAGGGATATTAGACCAAAAGCCGGGACCAGAATAAAGTCATAGAATTTGGGCCCAGCTCTAACCGTTCTCCCGTCCCTTTGTAAAGATCTGGTTGTGGGGACGGGATGCGCATGAGTGAAGTCAAATAGCAGCTTGGCCCCGCTCGGCTCCAGCTCCAGCACCAACACGGCCACAGGCCCAGGGGCCCTGTTGTCCGGGCCCACGCACTCCTCGTGCTCCGCCAGATCCAGGAACCCCTCGCCCGCTTCGAGGAAGCACGGGGAGTGCGGGGAGTGTTGGGGGATGACACTCTCAATGAGTGCATAAGCTGGCCTATGCTACCCTAAAAATATTAAACTAGAATGTCATGCAGCCAGAACAAATGTTTGGACCATGTTGCACCCCTATGCTCTTGGTACTTGCCGGAGCTGCGATGCAACTCCTACTGGACACACGACAAAGCAGGGCACAGGCGCACAATGGAATGCTCTCGGCTTCCGTGCAGATCAAAAACACCATGGGCACACCGCAAAACAGACCACTTCGTGAAAGCAACAATTCCTACTGGGCACAATGAACAGCAGCCGCGTGCGGAATTGTGTCAACAAACATGCTGCTGTTTGTATGCACATCCTTGCAAGTCGACTTTACAAAAGTGGAGTCGAGGTAACGCCGCGCATAGCACCGAACTCAACAGTAGGTCGCGAAATAGGCCGCAAAACGTGGCTTGGTCCGATGTCCCCGCCCGCGCCCGCCGGAGCCTACACTTCCCATCCCTTTGCGCCTGGAAGGCCTTGCCCCGCTCCGACTCCCGGACCACCCGGCTGCGGTCCACCCCCACCAGTTTCAGGGGGGTGTTCAGGCACCGAACCTTCCGGATTCCAGAGGCCAGGATGGCAAAAAAGACAGATCGGAACCTTCAAAGACCCAACTTTCTCCTGGGTGCCTCTTGAGGAAATCTCGGGCCCTCGGCCCTGGCGTTTTTTTGCCCCGGCCTGCGTGTGGGGCTTCCTGGAGCACAGCTTCACCGCAAAGTCCACAGTGTAGCCATCCTCCACGGTGCAGATCCAGCTCACGTAGTCGAGGGCATGCAGCAAAAACTGCTGCGAGCTCCGGCTACCAGCCTCTAGCCTCAGTGGAACAGAACCTCTGAGCATCAGATCCCACCCAATAGAATGCGAATCACCGGCCAACAACCAATCCAAACCTCTGGGGAGTGGCAAGTCTGCCAACTCATGCCCTTCCACCCACCCACCCGGAAAAAACACACTCCAGCTTGAAAGCTTGATCTTGTCGATGACAGCCTGCAGGGACAAGACAGGTTGCAGAGGCAACTTCACTTCCCCTAGCAGCTCGGGCCCTGTGGCCAAAACAGGGGAAGCTCGTCCTAGCTGCAACATGACCAAGGTATCGATGGGCATAAGATGAAAAGCCAAAGCCTCCATCACACATGCATATACATGCATGACAATTACAACCAAAAGCCAGACGGTCGGTCCGACCGGATGGGAGATGCCTCCCCAGCCGGCAGCTCTGAGGGCGGCCGCTGCGCCGCACCCGCCGCAGCGAAGCCCCCGCCCACGGCGTGCGACACGCGGCCCAACTTCTCTGCGGAGACCAGCAGCATCGGAGAGCCGCGCAGGCATGCCGTGGCCGGGGAACGGGGGAAACGCGGAGACCTGCTGTTTGATTCGTGGATCTGGTCCAAAGTTCAGCGGCCTGGCTGGCCTGTGCTCATGCTCATAGATGCCAAAATGCACTGGCAACAAGCCCGCCCGAAGCGAGGAGTCCCATCAGGTAACAACAGACCTGACTGAAGCTCACTAAATTTGGCACCCTTAGTTGCAATGTGCCTGTTTGTGTGTGTGTGTGTGCGCATGTGACTCAGCGCTTTGCCCAAGCTTTGATGCTCATGGTATGTGATGTCCTTTGGTTCCTGCAGTCAGCACAACCCAACCGGCAACCTTTCTGAGAACTGAGTCATCGAGTCATATGCAATTGAGAAGGCAGCAAGCAGCTAGCTTTCCGGGAGGATAGCGCCAAATGATGGCAAGGGGAGGGGTCCCCGCCTTTGGTGGAGGCGGAGGAATCTCACGAGACTCCCGCCGCCGAGGTTTTTCCTGGCACTGGAGATGAACAGCCTTACATCCTGCGCTTCGCGCCAAAACATGCGTACGTCCGTATGGGCTCAATCATGCAAAGTACAACATAGCACACGCACTTTGTGCACCAGTAAGTGCAAAGAAGCACTGAAAGTCAATTCAAGGAACCGCCAAAGAAATCACACACGGGGACACAAATTACAGGCAGCATACGAACAAGAGTTGAGAATGAAGGGAATCCGACTTTTATTTCGGCATGCATGCGTTTCGGTGTTGCCGTGCTGGACTCAAACGGAGTTCTCCATCTCACGTTCCATCACTAATCACAAGGTCGCCTTGATCTAAACTCCAAGCTGAAAGGCTGAGGACTGTCCAAAACGAACTTTCACTTAGCAAATTTAGAAAAGGGCTGGCCTTCGCTTGCTCAAGGGCGAGACAAGCACTAAGGCTGGCCAGGCTTTCACCGTGCCTCGAGGAACTTGCTGCCGGCTCCGATGGGCCCTCAGAACGACTTGGTGAGTTGCTTTTGGTCCTTTTGGGCCGATGGCGACGGGGGAACTGTGTGTCTCCGCCGTAACTTTCATGAGAATCAACGCGTCTGGAAGTCGACCAAAACATCGACAGCATTCCTCTTCCCAAACACAACAAAGTTTCGACCAACCTCAAAGCTTCGATGTACGATGTATTCGACCAACTACTTCCCCGACCTCTTTCTTGGGAACCTCAGGTGCCGGGCCTTCAGCTTCCTCGTCCTCACGGTGGCGCTGTACGAACCCCGAACCGACTGGCAAACAGAGGCCACCGCCGGCCAAAGCTGCGCAATAGGACTGATGACCCTGAGAAGTGTGCTTCAGGCTCCGAAAATGGTGCCATCGAAAACGAGCCCTGGCCCCCCGCCCGGTCCGACTCCGCGGGGGCCGAGTCCTCAACACACTCTTGTGGCATGGAACCGGCGGCGAAGAGTTCGACAAGCTTGCTCAATCACGTGCTCCGGCAGACAGACAAACAGGACAAACACAGACAGGACAGGACAGGACAGCCAAGCAAGCAAGCAAGCAAGCCAGACAGCCAACCAACCAAACCCAACCAGCCAACCGGCCTCCCCTCCACAGCTCCGAGAAACTTTCGTAACTCCAGGAAACATAGAGAACTGTTCGGCGATCGGTCCATTGAATCTGAATGGAACCGTGAACTTGCCTCTTCCGTCAGCCGAGCCTCATGCACCTGTCACAAAGCCCTAAGCCCCCGGCCCGGTTTTTCTTCCGGTGATCGCGGCCCTGGCCGGAGCTCCATACTAAAAGGCCAATACAATAGATGAACCGTTGGAAGGCAACTGGAAAAACAATGCCCCTCTGCTTGCCCAAGAACCCTAAAGGCAAAGACAGACCTTAAAAGGTGGGTCAAAAATGTGGTTCTTGGGGCCAATAAGGGCTGCATCAAACCTTGCGAGCATGGTTAACTTTTTGGGCTACTGCCCAAGACCTTCCAAGGGCCCAAAAGAGAACATCATTGGACCCACGGGCAGCCCTCAAAATGAACAATCGCGCTGAGCCACATGCTCTGGCCAGGGCGTGCAACCGACAACCAAATTAATCCAATGCAGGGGCTGCTGAGAGCGAAGTGTGCGGTGACATGGGCTTGGCTCGATGGCAGTCCATCCGCATGTCTGAAACATCCTCCAGGCAAAGCCTCCATCCATCCATCCATCCGTCCATCCGTCCATCCGTCCATCCGTCCATCCAAGGTGCAACCGGCCTTGCCGAGGTTGGGCACCACCAGCATGCGGAGCCCCAGCCCTGGCGCCTGCGTGCTCGTCCCAGACGCGCGAAGCTGCAGGTTTGATGTCAACTTGGGCGGACCAAGTTTCTGGAAGCTTCAAGGGGCTCAGGCAGATTCCATCCAGAGTTTGGAAGGGCAGCAGTCGTGCTTAAGCCTTGAGTCCGGATTGCATCTGGGCTCCTCGATTGACCCCTGCCCCACTCCTCCCCCACTGCGCCGCCGTTCGTCATCCGGCCTCCTCCCCAGAGTCAAGAAGGAGCTGCCGGGCCTTCAGGAGGTCCTATCGCAGCACTGAGCTGAGCATGAATGGCATTCTGTGGGCCTGAGCTGCTATAACTAAACGCAGAAATGCTTGTCACCGTGCCACCCGTCAGTGAATCGCAACAGCATGCCCGGGCATGGTCCCAAACAATTGCGCGCCTCCCTGCGGTAGGCATTGTAGACTCAGCCGGCATCACAGTACGAATGCCAATGCCGAGCCAATATCGATCCGACTCTCGCAGTTTCGCCCTGTGCAGAGGCTCGATGATGTCAAAGAACTGCCGCTTCTACATGCTGCACTTCCCGCCCACCAAGGATCCGGCAATCTGGAGGCGGTGCCTGGCTGCAGCGTTGGAAGTGGGCGACCCTCCCAATGCAGCAAGAGCAAAACGAACAGCTGCCCTGCTTTTTTCCGGTCCGTTACAAAATTATTAAATAATATGGCGCCCAAAACGAACAAACGCCCGCCTTCTAGCTTACAAACTTCGCAAAGCTTTGCTAGGCCCGATCGACGGCTCTCCCCAGCAACAAGTTCTCCCGCCTTCCTGTCCATCCTATCCATCCGATCCATCCGATCCATCCGGTCCATCCTGTCCATCCTATCCTTCCTGTCCATCCTGTCCATTGAGGACGGCCTGCACAAGCATGCCACAAATTGCAAGCTCGCTGGCTTGACTCATGCACCTGGCCAAGGAAGCCTTGCAGAATGTTTTTACATTGTCCAGTTTCAGGGAAGGTGCGCGATTCCATCCACATCTCAATCCAACTTGCCCCAATGTGGCAGCATAGTATTGGCATGAGGCTGCCGCATTGGTCCATCGCGCATGCCTAGGAGGGCAACAGCAAGGCAAGAGCTGCCAGGCTTTGCATCGGACACCTGAACTTGATTGCCCGTCTTAATAGACTGCACAGGCTTCCCTGTTTCACAGCCAAAGGGTAAGTTGGACGTGCTGCCCGCAACAGCGCTGGCTGGAATGACCACCCACTGCTAAGCCTGTCACCACGGCCGAGCGGTTGCCTTGCCGAAGGCAAGTGACTGCAAACCATTGAGCACCATTGAAACTCACCCCCCCTCCCAAAAAAAAAGAAAGAAAGAACAAGAAACGCTAATCCGCTGCAGTTTGCACGTGTCCTGCCTAGTTAAGTTGTTTCTCCTTTTGCACCCATGGCCTAAGGTGGGGGCGTGTCAGGGGTTTCCTGCATGAAGGTCGGCCCGTGGATGTGGCGCGCCTCAGTGGCAACAAGCCTCGCAAGCCTCCCACGGGTATTGGAACCCTCTGGCAAGCGAGGTCCCCTGAGCGAAGCAGTGGCCTCATCGTATATGCGCCACCTTTGTCTGAAATCTTAGCATCACCGAATTCAAAACCGTTGATGACCTGCTCTTGTTCCAGCTTTTCTGCAGCGCAACGCGATGGGCTTCTGCGGTTCTGAGATACAGCCCGAGCCCAGCACATGCACAGTGACCCAGCCATCTGGCTCGACCTCCAGTCGCTTGGCAAGCGGCGGCTTCTTGTGGCATGCAACACGAGGATGCTTGCTTCAAAGCCGGCCACGGCCAGGGTTTCTCGAAATAGCCTGCCTTGATAAGAATCCCACGTAACGTTAAACTAGCTAATGAAGTCCTTACTTTGTTCAACAGCCTTTCTGCTGCCTGGGTTCGACTGAGTTATGAGGACGGCACCGGCATGCGCACCAGACCGTTCGGCAGCGTGATGGTGTAGTCCCTCTGAGTGAGCGCCTGTCCCACCATCGTTGCCAACCACGGATGGGCTACTTGCCTGGATGAATCTGGAAGATTCACTCCCATTGTCCCTACTGAGAAGAAGCAAGCGCAGGGTTCGGCCCAACTTCCTTCAACATCCCTCGCCCAGAAAGCTGTCAAAGCGAAATTGAACGGCGCTGCTGAAGCCATGACTAGCTTCAGGTCACATGTACACGTGCTTCAATAATGTGGCAAAGCCTGATCATATTCATTCCTGCCCCAACAACGTCGCCCGTTTTTTTCAGCCCCAACCGGAAGGCACGCGAGCAACTCACCCGCACCTCGCCAGGTAGCAAGCGCCGCAGCTCGCGGCTGGTAACCGCTGAGGCCTCGCGCCTTGTGAGGATAAGGAGCGGGATGGAGCGGGGGATGGAAACGGCTCAGATGGCATTTCCCTTTGCATGGCCCCAATCAACACATTTGCCGTATGGACTCGCGGAACAGTGGGCACTACGAGGATTGCTTTCAAACTTCCCACCGGCAGCCAAGCAAAGCTAGGCCGCGTGCACAATCACGTCGTTAAAGTGCGAGCTCTTCCTCAGTCGTTCTAGTGAATTTGTTCATGGCTTGCAATTGTCCCACCGAATCACTCCAACGATCAAAGCCACGACCAAGTCGGCGTGGTGCCTCGCCGCCAAGCCGAACAAGCGCAAGGCGCCCGAGGCGCCCGGCAGCACCACCCAAACCTGCCCAGGACCTGAGTGCCCAAGGCTGATTTCAACCTGTCAAAGTGGTCACCCGAGTTCCCTCGAGCCGTGTGGCTGCCAAACTGTTGGTTGGCAAACTGCCATGTCTGTGCGCAGCTTGGGTACAACCTCTAGCTCAATTTTCCCAGAGCTGGAGGCAGGGAAGGCCATGACAGCGACCACCTCCCCCCCTCCCGTGCCACCCATACAAACCACCAGTTGAAGAAAACCTCTTGAGATTAACCCCCCGCCCCATCCCAAAGGTGCGACGCTTTGGGTTCCCCAGCGGCCCTCCGGGTCTGTGGACCTGAGCAGGCGAATGACAGAGCCCTCCGGCCTGGTCGGCTTACGTCTTGCCCGACCCATGCTTGGCGTCCGGCCCAGGCGGCACCGGTGGCGCCTTGGGCCTGGCAGATGTGAGGGGACTGACGGGACAGATCTGGCCACAAATCGGAAAGGCGGCCAGGCCGCTCTTTGTTGCGGAGGTTGGCTCTCAATTTAACACTTATGCCCATTGTTGCAGGCTCAGACCGAAAACTGCCTGAGAACTCCTCCGATCACTGAGGCATGGGAAACCCGCTTGAACATCCGTTTGTGAGGCTAGCCCAGTGAGCAGGTGAAATCTGTTTGGGGGGGCGGTTTTCCCTCTGCACTGAACCAACAAGGACGGGCTTAAATCCCCGAACCACGATTCCAGGTTTCATTTTCTGCTGTCAAAAAACACCGCCTTTGTGGCTTCTGAAGATTAGAGCACACGGTGCCTAATCAACTGCGTCTAATGGCATAGACGTGCACTTGAACTGCCATAGGGCAGCAGTCCCCTCAAGCGATTTTGCGCACTCTAGGTGTTTTAAACGGCGTGCTTAAATGTTACGGGCATCTCATCCACTGGGCCGCGGGATTGTTTGTTTGTGTTTGTTTTCTCTTTTGGCTTTGTTGTTTTTTTCAAGACTGTTTTGGCTTAGTCCTGTTAATTTTAGCTTTCTAAATATCTATGAGCACTCAGAGCCATAGCAAGAGCAGGAAATACATGAATGAACTGGAACAGCAGAAAAGAATTGAACTAACATCGGTGCATCGCGTTGCTGCTGGCGAGCGTGACGCAAAACGCTGGCACTTGCAGGGTGCTGTCACAGGGTGCTACTTCAAGCAGGGTCATGTTGCGCGGTGTGCTGCTGCAGCTTCCGCGCATGCGCGCAGCGGCCAAATTCCAAGGAAGCATGCCCCTTCAGACTCAACTTTAAATTCTTGCAACAAACGGGCTTTTGGTGCATTGGCAATTGCCAAGGAAAATCGAGGACCCGGCTGCATCTGGCTTTGCTTTGGCATTGCCTTTGGCTGCATCTGCATCTGCATCGGCTGCATCTGCTGCATCTGCAGCTGCATGTCCCGCTGTTGTTGCTCCCGCGATTGCTGCTCCCGCTGCTGCATCTCCCTCTGCTGCTGCTGCTGCTGCTGCTGCTGCTGCTGCTGCTGCTGCTGCTGCTGCTGCTGCTGCTGCTGCTGCTGCTGTTGCTGCTGTTGCTGCTGCTGCTGCTGTTGCTGCTGCTGTTGCTGCTGTTGCTGCTGCCGCTGCATGATCATCTGCTGCTGCCGCTGCTGGTCCTGCTGCTGCAGCTGCTGCTGTTGCGGCTGCTGTTGCGGCTGCTGTTGCTGCAGCTGCTGCTGCTGCCAGAGCATCCTAAATTCTCTGTCTCGCAGCGCCGTCTCCTGGGACATGAAGGACCTCGAGGCACAGATCATGGTATAGCATGAGGATATGCTATGCACCACGCCAATGGAATCTGACTGCATATGCACACGTGAGGATTTGCCTCTTCCGCTCTGGGCGCTGGGCAGGTCATCCCTGCCCTGCCTGGGCACGCGGAAGGCTACAAGGCGCCAGCTTCGCAGGCTAAGACCAAAACAGGTGCTTATGTGACATGCAGGTGGCCGTGCATTGCTTTGACGCTCCACCATGAGGCCCGTAGCTCAGCTAATCCCTGATTCCGAGATGACGTGTTTGCGCTTCACCCTCCACTTCCCCACCACCAGAACCGGGAGATAAAGCAACCGATACCACCTAAAGCTTTCGACTTGGAGTCTCCTTAAGCGACTGGGTGCAACAAGGGCTCTTGGAGCCCGGCGCGGCACCTGCCCAGACAGCAACAGCCATTACCAAGGAGACCAAGCGCGTTTCACGCATTGAAAAGGAACACAATAACCTGAGGCCCTAACTACTCATTCAACCATTCCGACCACAACCAAACATGCGGAGGTGCCAAAGCCCCGAGCCCACTTCCTGCTTCAGCTCTTGGCTGCAAGTTCCCAATTCCAGACCGCCTCCAAACCCAGCTCTGAACTTCAGTTCCAAACGCCAAGCTTGCTCACTGTTCAAGGTGCCAGCTAAAACAAATACTCTTTGACCGCAAATGTAAGATGAAGAATAAGAAAAAAACTTGCAGCACGTCAACAATGCGACCCGCTCCTAGATTCCTCTTTGGGCTTCCAAAGGAACCAACGGTGGCTGCCAACCTTCAAAGTCCAAAGGTCAAAGCAATGAGACCGGTCACCCTTGTCAGGAAAACACACACACACATACACGCATACACACATACATACATACATACATACATACATACATACATACATACATACATACATACATACATACATACATTACATACATACATACATACATACATACATACATACATACATACATACATACATACATACATACATACATACATACATACATACACATACATACATACATACATACATACATACATACATACATACATACATACATACATACATACATACATACATACATACATACATACATACATACATACATACATACATTACATACATACATACATACATACATTACATTACATTACATACATTGCATACATTACATACATACATTACATACATACATTACATACATACATACATACATACATACATACATACATACATACATACATACATACATACATACATACATACATACATACATACATACATACATACATACATACATACATACATACATACATACATACATACATACATACATACATACATACATACATACATACATACATACATACATACATACATACATTACATACATGCATTACATTACATACATTACATACATACATACATACATACATACATTACATACATACATACATTACATACATTACATACATACATACATACATACATACATACATTACATACATTACATTACATTACATTACATTACATTACATACATACATACATACATACATACATACATACATACATACATACATACATACATTACATACATACATACATACATACATACATACATACATACATACATACATACATTACATTACATACATACATACATACATACATACATACATACATACATACATACATACATACATACATACATACATTACATACATACATACATACATACATACATACATACATACATACATACATACATACATACATACATTACATACATACATACATACATACATACATACATACATACATACATACATACATACATACATACATACATACATACATACATACATACATACATACATACATACATACATACATACATACATACATACATACATACATACATACATACATACATACATACATACATACATACATACATACATACATACATACATACATACATACATACATACATACATACATACATACATACATACATACATACATACATACATACATACATACATACATACATACATACATACATACATACATACATACATACATACATACATACATACATACATACATACATTACATACATACATTACATTACATACATACATACATACATACATACATTACATTACATTACATTACATTACATTACATTACATTACATTACATTACATTACATTACATTACATTACATGCATTGCATACATGCATTACATACATACATACATACATACACTACACTACACTACACTACACTACACTTCACTACATTAATTACATTACATACATACATACATACATACATACATACATACATTACATACATACATACATACATACATACATACATACATACATACATTACATACATACATGCATAGATACATACATACATTACATACATACATACATACATTACATTACATTGCATTGCATTGCATTGCGCTACACTACATTACATACATACTTACATACATACATACATACATTACAGTACATACATACCTACATACATGACATACATTAGTTCATACATTCATACATAGACACATACATACATACATACATACATACAGTACATACATTGCATACATTACATGCATACATACATACATACATGCATGCATACATAACATAACATAACATAACATACATGCATAACATAACATAACATAACATAACATACATAACATAACACAACATAACATAACATAAACATACATACATTACATACATTACATACATTACATACATTACATACATTACATACATTACATTCATTACATTCATTCATTACATTCATTACATTCATTACATTCATTACATTCATTACATTCATCGCATACATTACATACAATGTGTATATGTATGTAGTGTAATGTAAATATGTATGTATGTCATGTATGTATGTATGCATCATGTATGTATGTAATGTAATGTAATGTAATGTACTGTAATGTAATGTAATGTAATGAATGAATGTATGTATGTATGTAATGTATGTATGTATGCATGTATGTATGTAATGTAATGTATGTATGTATGTAATGCATGTATGTATGTATGTATGTATCGTATGTATGTATGTATGTATGTATGTATGTATGTAATGTATGTATGTATGTATGTGTGTGTATGTATGTTATGTATGTTATTTACAAATGTATGTATGTATGTATGTATGCAATGTATGCAATGTATGCAATGTATGCAATGTATGTATGTATGTATGTATGTATGTATGTATGTATGTATGTATGTATGTATGTATGTATGTATGTTGTGTATGCATCTAATGTATGTATGTATGTATGTATGTATGTATGTATGTATGTATGTATGTATGTATGTATGTATGTATGTATGTATGTATGTATGTATGTAATGTATGTATGCATGAATGTAATGTATGTATGCTTGCATGTTTGTATGTAATGTGATGTGATGTAATATAATACAATGTGTTGTAATGTAATGTATGTATGTATGTACTGCATGTATGTATGCATGCATACATGTATGCACGTATGTATGTAATGTCTGTATGTGCGTAATGTAATGTAAGGTAATGTAATCCAATGTATTGCAATGTAATGTATGTATGTATGTATGTATGTATGTAATACATGTATGTATGAATGCATGCATGTATGTATGTATGTAATGTAATGCATGTATGTATGAATGCATGCATGTATGTATGTAATGTAATGTATGTATGTATGTAATGTAATGTAATGTAATGCAATGTAAATGTAATGTAATGTAATGTAGAGTTGTGTAGTCTAGTGTAGTGTAGTGTAGTGTAGTGTAGCGTAGTGTAATGTATGTTTGTATGTATGTACGTAATGTATGTATGCAATGCATGTATGTAATGTAGGGTAATATAAGGTAATGTAATGCAACCTAATGTAATGTAATGTAATGTAATGAAATGTATGTAGGAATGTATGCATGTATGTATGCAATGTATGCAATGTATGAAATGTATGTATGTATGTATGTATGTATGTATGTATGTATGTAGGTAGGTAGGTATGTATGTATGTATGTATTTGTGTATGTATGTATGTAGGTACGTACGTACGTACGTACGTACGTATGTATGTATGTATGTATGTATGTATGTATGTATTTATGTAATGTATGTCATGATACTGCATTACATTACATTCATTCATACATACATACATACATACATACATACATTACATACATGACATACATACATATATATACATTACACTACTTACATATTTACATTACACTACACTACACTACATTATCTTACATTACATTACATTACATTACATTACATTACATTACATGCATACATACATACATGGGCCAGGATGGCGTGCGCCGGGAAAAACGGGATGGACCAGGAATCGGCATTGACTGCAACACAACAAGTTTCAGCCGCTTGTAAAGCAAAGCAAGCAACAAAAGGGATGGCCGCAAAACACCGCCTCTCATGCAGGGTGTCGGAAAGCCCGCTTTCGGCTCTTGGCTACACGAGAGCAGAACCAGCTAAAGGCTCAAAGCGTCTTCTTTTACGCTTTTACCCTCGCCCTCAATGAACCCAAACAAAAGCTTGTTGCACTCAGACCCTGCCGGCCCTTCCGGTCTCATCCTGCCTGGCACCTGGGCTCGTGACCAGGGGCCAGGGTTTGAGGTTTGAGACTCGGGATCGACACTTAACGGGTGATTCTTGCAAGCTGATGGTGGGCTTCGGAAGCCATCAAACTACAGGCAACCCGTGGATTGCGGGAACCCATCCAAAATTGGTCACGTGTTAACGAGACTGGCGACGGCAATCAACAGCTGCTGCATCCACGCACGAAGTTTGCAGAATGTTTGCTCCCGCTTTTCAGAACAGAGCATATGCCCCTCCCGGCCTGCATCTGCATCGACTGCATTTGAGACCTTGCATTGCAAACAGCCAGCCGCTCGCATGCCGTCCTCATTTCAACGTAAGTTGACGCCGCCTCTAGGCCAAAGCCTCCCTGGGCAAGCGCAAGCCAGGTCCCTGACATGCCCGAATCACCCAGCTTGTTGGGACCTTGGCCGGGACGATGCACGCATACGCAAACTGGGCATACTTTGACATTCCCACAGGAAGTCACAACGAGAAAACGAACGAGGTGGGCGACCTTGTGAAGAACCAAAAATATGATGGCAGTGCAGGCGTCATGTGAGAGCTTCCCATCCGGACTCTTAGCGCTGAGAACCCTGATGGGCTTGCCCTGATTCCCTCAATGCCAAGGGAGTGCCAAGAGCTCAGCCCCGCATCATGTCCACCTGCGGCCGTCTGGCCTGGCGAGTGAAGCGCAATAGAGCTAACATCTGGCGGTCTCCTTGTCTTGCCCTGTCCTCATTTGTGTTTTGGACCCTGCTTTAACTTGACACCTCGAAGCTGTCTAGCCACCATGACACACAACGGAACAGAATCCATAACCCCAAAACACTCCTTTCATTGAATGCACAAGTCTTCCAAAAGGGGATAAACATCTTGACGCCGAGTTCATTTTACCTGCCCTCTGCCTGTGGTGCAGCACCGGGATACATACCGGCCTGAGGCAGCAAAACAGGTCACATATAAAAGCTGACCACAAATCATCACACCAAGGCTGACGAGCGCAAACCCTGCGGTGCCCACCATACTTCACACCATACTACTTGGGCAAACCTTGTCCATGGTGCGCACTCGAGAAATTCGTTGACAACCGATCCAACCCCATCCAGCCATTTCAATCCTCAAACAGCGGTGCTCAAGTTCTGCGGATCGCATGGTCAAAGGCCATCCTCCACAAACTAAGCTGCAATGAGACTTGCTCTTTGGCCACAGCCCGTAGGCTGCGCGCATGGTTCAGTCTCTGAAGCCCATGGCTGGTGGCGCTCACTCCAGTGCCCTGCCCCCTCCACGAAAAGTTTGAGGCAGCCACAGCCTTGCCGTCTGGCCTGCCGCACCACGCGCTGCTCTTGGAGCGCCATCCATTCAAAAAGGCAAGGGTTTAGTCTCGTCAAAAGCACTTCCGAAGGGGGCCCCCTCCCAACGCCAAGGCCATCTGGACTTCCCAGCTCCCGCATGGCGGCATCTTTTGCTCGCAGGAAGCGGATGCTCGGAGATTGGCGCAGAGAGGTCATATGGAAAAATACCCACACCTCACCGCTGCGGGCACAAAAACGCAGAAACACTTCCCCAAGGCGAGACAGGACATGAACACCCGCTCACTCGCTTGGAGCCAGCTACCTGAAGCCTTGCACTGAAACGGATCCGCCCTTCCCTCCAAGCGGCGGCTCCCGCCAAGCTCTTGGGGAAGGCAGTCGGCGCCCAGGTGCGAGACCATGTCCTCGGGCACCTGGCGAGGACGCGGAAATGCATCCGAGCTCACCTGGCACGCACGCCGGCCTCCTGGCTAAAGTGCACCTTGGTGAGGGTGTCTTCATTCCTTGGAGCCGACGCGGTTAAAAAGGCATGTGGCCGCAATGTGGTGCTGTGTTGCTGCCTGATTTGCCCGGCTTTCTGCCTTTTGGTTCATCGTTCGTCTACCTGTGACGTGCGGCCAAGGGGCAGGAATGGACGAATCATTGCAAACCTGGACAGGCCGTGATACCATGCTCGCCCAAAATAAATCACATCAAGCCGAGAAGCAGCGCCCAAAAGATAAACGGCGCATTCACTACGAAAATGTGGGCAACTGTGTCCGGATAGTGCTCTTCGTCTATCCTCAGAGCGGATCATGCTCACAGCTGCTGTGACTGCCGTACTCGGAAAACAGAAAACAAGCCGCCGTCACCCTTTGCGGCAGCTGGATGGACTTAAACCAGGTACAACCAAAGAACACCCCCTGCCTGACGAAGAGTTGAAGCTCGAAAGGGTGCCCAAGAGACGGCAATTTCCTGGGGCCCGCACCGGCTGATGGCGCCGAAGACGCTGGCCAAATGAGGTCGGATGTGCCTTGCACTAAGCCTGCGGGCAGGACAAAGGCAAACTACCTGTCCTGCTCATCCGCTCAGCCACCTTTCACCCTGGCCTTGCCTGTCAACGAACTGCTTGTGTTCATCTGGGTCCTTTACCTATGTTGCCCTAAGTTCCGCACATGCCCTGCCAACACAGCCAACTCTCCGAGCAGCCCGTCCAGGTCGATGATGAGCGAAAACCCGCGGGGATCCAAAGCGCCCTCCGGACGCTCCATCTGCGCCAGAATCTCGTCAGCCATGACATGCACGCCGCTGAACTCTTCCAGGTCCTTACATGGCGAACAAAAAACAGCATGCTTCAGCTTCCGTCCCCACCCTACATCTCCTCCGTCGCTTCCACCACTTTCTGCACCGCCCAAGTGCCCATGCGCTCAACCAGAACGGGCCGCCCGTAGTGGTCCAGCCCCAGGTAGTCCTCATTCTTAGCCATCCAAAAAGCCCTACAATGTTGCAACCAGCTATCGGAAGCAATTCCGCCAATGACCTGCTTCTGAGATGAGCTCGGAAATTTGGAGAGCATAGCAGGCCAGCTTCCAGAAGAACGAATTTCATCCAAGGAGCGTAGAGCAAAACATGTCGCATTGCCCGCTCTTTGGCAGACCAATTTGCATCGTGCAGCATCTCCTCACAAGTAGCTGTTCTCTCAGCTTTCATTTTACCAATCGAAATGCATGATACTGCCAATCCAAGGCAAACCTGCGAAACCAGAACCATGACGCAAACGGCAAGCCGCCAAGCTTCTTTTGAGCCTTCTTCGTTTCAATCAGCTCCCAACACCATTTGGGAAAACAAACCTCTACAAGCTAAGCAGGCCAAACAAGCTGCGCTTGCGTCCCCGAGGCTCTGCTCTTCTGTCCGAGAAAAAAAAAAAAAAAAAAAAAAACGGCGACCCGTTGAGGTACCCCCAACGAGCAGGCGGCCATCACCCCAGTTCCAGGCCACTAAGATCCGGGTGAACAGGGGGAGCCCAAAATTCTGGGGTGAGTTGCAATTTTGGGGGGGCCTCTCTCTTTCCGGCCGAAGACGTCGCCCGCCCACCGCCGAAACGGCCTCCAGGCGCCTCTGGGCGCGCCAGGCGCCGGTGGCGGCCAGCCGCTCCGCGGCCACCGCCTCGTCGAAGCCCGAGGCGCGGAGGAAGGCCAGCAGCGCCTCGGAAAGGAAACTTTGGGTGCGTGGGAAAAGGACTCGCCTTTTTCCCCCGGGGATTCTGGCGGTTCCATGGAAGCTCCCAGGATTCTGGTCCGGAAGACTCGGTTCCATTTACAGGGGCCAATTGGAGCTTCTGCACTGGGAATGGGAGAAACGATGGGAAAGCAGTGAGTGAGGCAGAACCACAGCACTTCCTTTGAACACGCTCTAAATTATGTTGTCAATCCGACGCCGTTTTTAGGTTCAGAATACGCCACCACGAAGAAAGAAAAAAACGCGCCAGGCACGCTTCAACGTCTTCTACGTGCCAGGAGCACCAGCCGTTATATTTGCGTTATACAGTGAGTACCTGCTGTTTTGTCTGTCTTATATATAAGGCGTGCTATCTCCGTGCTATCTCCCGTCCTATCTTTTCATATTGCTGTTGCACAAAGAGCACCGTTCCACAGGGGGCGCCAGGCTATGGTTTGCCGCCCACATTTTTTGATTTACCTTTTTTGGAAGGGGGGGTTCTCCTGGGTTGTCCTCCAAATGCGCCTCAAGACAGTAGCACGGAGATAGCCCGGGAGACAGTGCTCCCTGGAAAATATAAATCACGGCTGGTGCTCTTTCAATATAAAATGATAGCATGGGATATTGCACGGAGATAGCACGGGAGATAGCGCTCCCTGTATAACGCAAAGATAACGGCTGGGAAGGCAAACCTGTCCCACCACAAAGCGGATCTAGATTCTGTGTGTATCTCCCGTGCTCGCTCTGTATATTGCTGTTTTGCAAAGAGCGCCAGCTGTTATAATTGCGTTATACAGGAAGCGCTTTCTCCCGTGCTATCTCCCGCGCTATCTCCTGCGCTATCTGTGTATATTGCTGTTATACAAAAAGCAGCAGGAGCACCAGCCGCTCTATGTGCGTTACAGGGAGCACCAGCCGTTTTATTTGCCTTTTACAGGGAGCGCTATCTCCGTTCTATCTCCAGCACTAGCTCCGTGCTATTTCCGCACTATCTCCCCGTAGAACGCAAATGTAACAGCTGGTGCTCCCTGTATCGCGCAAATGTAACGGCTGGTGCTCCCTGCATAGTGGCAATACATCGGCTGACGCCTGGTGCTCCCTGTGTCACGCAGATATAGCGGCTGGCGCTCCCTCTAAAACGCCTTATACTGCAAATATAACGGCTGGCGCTCCCCGTATAACGCTAGTATAACGCTCCCTGTATAGTGCAAATATGACGGCTGGTGCCCCCGCTGCATAACGCACAAAACGGCTGGCGCCCTTTGGATAACAGCAGTATAAACAGATAGCACGGGATATAGTACGGAGATAGCACGGAGGTGGCTCTCCCTCTTTAACGCAAATATAACGGCTGGCGCTCCCTCTACAACGCAAATGTAATGGCTGGTGCTTAATCTTATTGGCTGGTGCTCCCTGTACAACGCAAGTAGAATGGCTGGCGCTCCCTGCATAGCGCAAATATAACGGATGGTGCTCCCTGCATAACAGCAATATATCGGCTAGCTCTCTCTGCATAACGTCGAGGAAAAAAAAAAAAAAACGGCTAATAGCCTTCCCTGAATAACGGCAAAATGTTGGCTAGCGACCCTTGCATCACGCAATATAACGGATGGTGCTCCTTGGGAAACGGCAACATAAAGAGATAGCACGAGAGACAGCCCTTTCTCCTTGTTTGTTCAGCATATATATTTTTGTGCAATTAGTGCTTCCCAAAGTGGTTCCAGCGCGTTCTCGTTCTTTTTAGCAACCAGCGCGCCCGCAAGTGTTCACACAAGCGAATTCAAATTCAATTCTAGCGCGCGCAACACCACGTCACCCGAGGTGGAACTCCCTTAGACGACCAATTTGCGAATTCAAAACCCTTGCCGGTGCTGCGCATTTTAGCCACGCATTATGTTCATGCAAACCTATGCCAAAAATTGAGACATGCCCGAGCTCAACTCTCCTCGAAGTAGGGGAAAGAGGTGGGCAAAAGCAGAGCCAAACATCAGAAACCCCAGAAGCAGCCACGACCAAATAGCCAGCAGTTCTCGGCCCAACCCTTTTTCAAGTGGGCAACATCGATTGTTTGCAGCACGTTCTTGACTTGAAGTTGAAACACGAATCCCCTCCAAGACTGCTGAGCAGAGTTGCAAGCCCTACGCCGACAAAAAGTACATGGACATGATATGACTCACCAAGACATCATGACCTGCTGGAGTGGGAAAGCAGCAAGAGTAGAGGACCTCCAACTTCCTCCGAGTCCCTCCCTGCACCTGGTCATCCTCCACCTTCGTGGCCTCCCGCAAGGCTTGCACCTGACACAGGCAAGCCCCCTCAGTGATGTCAGAATAAGTGGATTCTGGACGCTTGGAGGACCCTAAACGATAGCATCCGCCACAAACTTGACGGCAAGTTTCCCTTGCCCCCCCCCCCTTTGCATTTCATTGGTAAGAACTGGTTTTCCTCCAAAAAGCACAAGGGGAAACATCCAACCCAATAGCATTCAAGCAATTGTCTCGATCTTGACCTCGAAAACAAACTAATTACAAACTGATATCCAAAAATCTGCACAAGGGCCTTGACGCCCCGTCCACCCGCCCCAACGGCCTCTGCACGATGCTCCTCCAGCAAAGCCCATCGGTCCAGCAAACCGTCGCCCATTGATGCGCGCCGGAGGAGAGCTGCTTCTTTGGGCTTTGGAAGGCTTTGGAAGGCTTTGGAAAGCCTGTGGGCCAGTGGGGGCTGTCAGTGATGACGATAATTCAGTGGGCCGCATAGCTGAGAGCAGCGAGCAAGGTCATCAGCTGCCAAACAAGCCAGAACCCATACAACAACTGGCATTGCTGCCGGATAAAATCGGCAATCATTGTGCAAGTCCCGCCTCATCATGTTCATGCCTTTGCCCATGCCCATCTGCCCTTGCAGCGACAGGCATTGCACATGTCATATTGCACAAATAAGGATGACGGTAACAGAAGCACTGATAACAAAACCTGTCGGGCATCTCAGGACACTAAACATGACCCCGTTTTAAAGCTGCGCTGGTTTCATTAGGGCACACGATCCTTTCATTGCTTTGCAGGCTTTGTCGTTTGAGCCCGCAACATGATGGTGCAAATTAGCATTTTCGACTTCGCCGAACAAAATTCACCCGGCATTTCTCGACCATTTGGGCTCGAAAATCGTGAATTGCAACAGGCCCTTTGGGAGTGGTCAATAAAACGGCGAAACGAATGTTTAACCACACCAGCACCTCACCATCTGCATCCACTTCCTGTGTGATCCCGCTCATGGCACAGAGTCCAAGCCCGCAATGTGGCAGAAAGCGCACGGGCAGCGATGCCCATGCACGGTAGGCACGTGGCAAGCCAAGCACAGCTGCAAGAGAGTTCTCTTTGTTTGCAAGTTCGGGTACTGGTCTGAAGGGCTGAAGGAGGTATGGTTGCCTCGACAATGCGAGGAAATTCAAGTACCCTGTCCGGAAGATAGTCATAAAGCAACCTTTTCCAAATTGGCCTATTTCTCAGGCAAAGCTTGCAAAAGGATTAAAGAACAAGCATCACGCACCAACCCAAGCGCCCGCAGAAAAAAGGAAAGCAACTTGCAGGCCAAAGCCACAGCTGGAAACCTGGCGGACAACCGCCATCTGGTTGCCTGCCTGCAGGTGGGCCTTGCATCTGCTGCATTGCCTGGCTGTAGGAGCAGCTTCTTTGGCCCTTGGCGACTGAAGGAAACTTCTCCAAACGCAGCTGGAAGAATTGAAGAAGGAATGCTTGACATGGGAAGGTCTCTCAACCCTCAAGACTTAAGCAGAGCCCGGGCCTTCGGGCGCATCTGGTAACCCTCCTGGCTCCCACGCTGGTCAATCCAAACCAGGCATATGGGGAAACCTGCTCTCAGAACCCCAAGCATAGGATGAAGAGTCTCTGACATTCTGCTTTCAACCAGAAACAAAAGACATCTGTTCGCAGTGGAGATCATTGCCAATGTCCTAAACCTGCGCGCCTACAAACCAGGTAAGTTCACTTGCGTTGAACTCGAAGTAAAGCTTCCAAGGCAAAACACATAGGCCACTGCCCCATCAGTGCCTGCGGCGGGTCATTGGGCCTCAGGGTTCTCGCGACCACAAGATGAAGCGACGAGGATCAAGCTATCTGGCAACATCCGGCAAGGACTTCCAAAGATTCGAACTGCAGTGCAGTTATTGCAGTTCTGCCTAGGTAAAATGGCCAGATCCTACGGGACTGAGGATACCAAACAAAGCATTTCCAGGTACAGGGGCAGGGTGGATGTTACATTTCAACCTAAAAGCTAAGGTCGGCAAATATTCGATCTCAAATGAAGCCGGGCGCCCCTGCCAGCCCTTCCCACCTGCACAGTTTTTGCGTCCGGTCCAGTTCCATGCACTGCAACTCGATTTGCACTCAGCCAACGTAGCAAGCAGGTCACGCTGGGCAAAAACCGTGGCTCGTTGCAAAAGCATGGTCAGCTCAATGGAAGGTTTGTGGTGAACAAATGGCCAGGACCTGACCGCACAGTGCTTGCCAGGCAATGCAAACTCGGCTACGGTCTCACCCTTCTGTGCTATCCCTCTGGTTCATGGCCACACCCCTCCCTCAGCTCCACGCCTTGGCTCTGCCTGGGGGCAGGTAGCGCGGAGGACAGAAACAAATTCATGAACAACACGGTGATGAAGTCATCCAGCAAGTTAGAATGGCGCTCGCCATCCAATTCTTTATAATACGCCGTTTCAGTGACCAAACTCATTGCCACGAAGCCCTACTCAACTGATCCAGCGCCCGCCATGGCCAGTGTTCATGACTGCCAGCGTCAGTCGTACAGCCATGAGCACCACACCAGCCGCCAGGCGCCTGCCTAGGGAGGCACGGTCGTGTTGGCCCAAAATGTCAGAGCGAGGCGTTTTGCACGCACGAGCTGGGATGCACCTGCGGGTGCAAGGTGCAGTGTAAGGAGCATGAACAGACTTGCAGCCGCTCTGATTCACAAAACCGCTCTAATTCACAAAGTCATGCTGCCATTCGAAAACTTGGGCCAAAATTGCACCGTCTGTGTACACAACGGGTGTACTTGCTGTGCTGGCAGGCGGGCAGGGTGCTGCGCACATGTCGTGCGGAAAAGCTGTGCTTATCATAACCCACCCACCCACCCACCCACCCCGCACGGTGGGAACGCGCATGCAAATCATGCACATTGCACACACGCACACAGACCGGGAAGGCAGGCAGGAAAGGCAATTTATAAGGCCGCATGCAGGCAGGCAAAGCACGGCCGAAGGCCCAGCACATATGCACGCAAGCAGGCGTGTGCACACATAGGCCTGAGGCATTTCCAGGTGCCGTGCTATGAGTTGAGGAACACGGGCACGGGAAGAACCAAATTGCACAAGGTCTCCAGTACCTCTTCCTGTTCGGGCGCATTTCCACACGCAAAACTTTTCTGATTCGTCCTAAGTGCGCAACTCGTCTGGCAAGGAAGCCGGCCCGTCCTTTCAATCAAATTGAGATCTATATATGTATATATACAGTATATGTATGTATAGGAACGCAGTGCCAACAGGGCCCCAAACGAGCCCTTGCGTGACAATCGGAACGAGAGGATGCCAAGAGCCCCGGCGTGAAACCGTAGCGCCTGCCATGTCGGGCGCTTAAACGGGCCGTGACATGGGAAACTAGACTTGCTCGCCTGATTGACCCAAGTGTTGCCCAAAACGATGGCCTTTTCTCACGTTCCAACCCTGTCCACTTTCGCGCCTCAGAGCATCAGCCGCTGACTTCTGCAGTCCTTGGCTGCTACTGCCTGGCTGGGAGAACGGGCAAACAAGCAAGTCACAGCACGATTTTTGTTTTTGGCTCTGGTGTTCATAGCTTCCGAAATCTAAAACAGCTAAACGGCAAAAAGGTGGGAGTGAGAACAGCAAAGGACTAGGGACTAGCGAGCGTGAAGGCTACCTCTGAAAAGCCTGCTGCGCGGTTTTGACGCGAGCTCCATTTGAAATGCAATCGCACGGCAAAGCGCCCAAGTTCCTGTGGGCTCAAACATGTTGTAAATGGGGACTCTCTGAGCACTCAGCTGCTGTCGTTCGAAAACTTGCCTTTGGCTATGTCGCCAACTGGTGAGCCTTTGCGTGCTTTCTGCGGGTACGGATTCAGATTTGAATTTTCCCCGTTGGTACACCAAAATGCAGCAAGCTGCCACTTTCAAAGCGGTGTGAATGACACGGGCACGGCACCGCCTGCGAAGTGCGCTTTCGCAGCCCCGGCTCGCAAATTGCAAGTGTTTAAGCGGAGCACACTTTCGCAGCTCGGAATTCGTTGTTCAGTGCGAAGGGGAGGGGTGGGCATCACGGGCTTGCTTGATGCAGTGTGTTTGCATGCCCGTATATATTTGTACATGCACATATGGTTTAAGGCCTGCCTCTGACGATAACTCTCTTGGCCCAAACAACACCAACTTCAGACAATAAAAAGGTATGCAAGTTCGTGCAGCCAAAGGGCCCAGATTTCATACAATTTATTGGAATTTGTGTATAAAATATGGGGTTGCACCAAACATATGTATAAGTTGGTATAAATGTGGCCGTGTCGATGGGATTTGACAGATGTCATGCCAATTTTGCGGTTGCAAATCAAATGACATGCCACATTATACCAATTTGATACTAAGTTGGCATGACATCTGGGTCGGGCTTCCCCTCAAAAGAAAGACGATCGGACTCCAATTGAAAACAATCCTGTCAGCTTCGCCACCACTTTGCCGAAAAAAATGGTTGGCTCCGCCCAAACTTGGTCTGCACAGAATTCGTGGTAGCTCTGCACAAAATTGGTAGTGACTCTATGCCCATGATTAGAACAGGACAAAAGCCCCTTGGCCCCCCCGCCCTAGTTCTGGGTCAGAAGAGGGTCATCCATTGATAGACGCATGGCCTCATATCAATGACCTTGTCAAGCTTTGCGCAATAGCATCGCCCCAAACTCAACACTGGCGTGGATTGAAGGCCGGGCTGCGGAACAGCAACTGCGAGCCAAATGCCTGGCAGTGGTGGTGGAGGCGCCAAAGGCCCAGCCTGGAGGCAAGCTGTCATCGCTTAGCTGGCTTTGTTGGCAGTTTAGCGTGGCAGGCAGTTCCAGTCATAGGCTTTGGCCCCTGCTCAGTCTTTCTTTGGGACACTGGCAACCATTGTTTTGCCGCGAAAGAAACCATCTTGATGCTTCATGGCCGTGTGTGTTTCCGTGTTATCCCCTCGGGGGGCGACACCAGATGCCGCCGTGCGAGGTGTGACCAACCCCTCCGTGCCTTGGGGGCGCTCTTGGGCACCTGCGCAGTCGGAGAGGGGACTTAAACAGAAACACGACGCCAGCGATCCATTGGGGGGTTGCTTCGTGGGACATACGCGTTGAAGTTGGTGTCCACCCGAGGCTGAGGGTGTTCCCGCCAAAGTTCCGCCAAATTTTGAACAAGTGCCAGGCTCAGCCTGCGAGTCTTTCCATGGCAATTCAATCATTAGCCCGGCCTGTCCATCAATCGGAATCATGTACTCCTCACGGAGCCTGAGCCGGGCTGGGACGACAACGGACGTGGTTTCACTGCTGAGGGTCAACCCGTATCAAGGTGAGCCCTTGAATGCGATCGAAGCAGATCTTAAACTTCTGGGATCTGATAACTCTGCATTTGCTGGGGGCCTTTACCCCAGCACACAAGCATGAGCCAAGCCGCAAGAAGATCGCAAAGCAACGACTTCAGGCAGGTGATGGGTTTTACCCACCCGTGGCTGAGGCCAGGTCGACATGGGCACTGTCTCCCCTGAAATCCTTCGGATGCGAAATCCATGACTGCAGCTCTCAGCACAACAGCAAAGTTACCAAGCGGCATGAACCTGCAGCCCAAAAGCATTTGTCATGCCCTCAGGGTAGCATTGCGCTATTTCAGAGATACCGTGATCACAAGCTTCTGCAGCTGCCGTCAAGTGTTTCAACACCAAAGGCTATGCCGAGACCCCTGCGTTTCTACATCCACCTCGGCCGCGAACAGTCGTGCCATGCATGGCCTCCTTTGCCACAAGGTCCCCACATGGAAGCTAAGCGTCAGGGCGTCGACATGTTGTGTTTGTTTTGGCCCACATATGGGGAAGGCAGCACACTCACCCCCCTTGTTGGGCCATAAGGTATTGAGACTGTTGAGAAACTATTACAGACGAATCGGGGAGGAAGAAACAAAGTAAGAGCCCCGTGCCCCCCCATGCCAAGCTGCGTTGTATCTCTTGTTCTGCTGCTCGAAGCTCCGCACAATGCCGATGCCTCATTCGATAGTACCAAATGGCATTTTCGCGCCCAGGCGATCGGCCGAGCGAGCAAACTTTCCCCAGGACTCGCTGCCAACATCAAACCCGCCGGCAGCCTGATTGGCAGGGAGCGAAGCAGAAGTGAAAAGAGCCAGCTCGGCAAAACTTTTCCTCCGCATCCTTTGGCAGCATGCACTCTCTCTCGGGTGGGTTTCCCAGCCCTATTCCAGCGGACGCCGCTTACGCCCCAATAACACCCTCGCGCGCTGTGAATTGATGGTCGGTGGCCTCAAGGAAGCCAAGAACAGGCAAAAGGAGCTGGCATCCCCTTTTCCACAAACGCGATCTTTGAACAAACTTGCTAGCTGCGACCAGGTGATGGGGCGAGACATCGCCGGGTTTGCCGCAAATCTGAGGAAAGGACTGGGCCAGTCCAAAGGAATTTGCCGGAAACCGCCGCAAACCTATCTTGTTTTGGACCGATCATCTATGGATAAACGCACACTGCACATCTCCCTGCTCACTTGCGCCGCATATTGTCCAGCACCTATCACAGAGTCTGCTGGCTTTGGGGCAGTCCGATCCAAGCGAGGTCTCCCATGCACACCCTGCTGCATCTGACGTGTGCACCGCTGTAGCAGCAGCCATTACTTGCAAATGCTCAACTCATGCCTTGAGCAGCAGGTCAGACATTTGCACGTCGGGTTTCTTCAAGGACTGCACATTCTCTTCTAGCTTGCTCACCTTGGTAGGACACGAGCCTTGCCAGCCTGGATAGTCAGATCAACGTGGTCTTGGCGTTATCCAAACTTCACCGCACCGCGCTGTGCCTCGTACCGCACCCAACAGCCCCTTCAGCTGGGACCGTGGCCTTCCGCCTGGTGGGGGCCACCTCCTGCGCATCCTCGCGGAACCTGGGCAGGGATGTCCCTTTGACTCTTTCATTTGACCGTCCTCGGAGAGGCCTTTGACAGAGAGGCCTTTGCCCCAAAGCCCAAAGATCCCCCCGCGGGCCATGCGCGCCGAGTTGCTCCTCCGGGATCAGGCCTTTCCTGAGCGACACTGCTCTGTTCACACCGCGCTATGAACCCCAGCTCATGTTGCAAGCCAGGTGTCTTCCTCTTTGGCTGTCTATCTCTAGACTGGCCGAAGGCAGCACGGAGACGCTCTTCTTGGTACTGCTTGGCCAAGCGCTTATTTCCTCGGCATGTGCCAGGACAAAAAGACAAATCCTTCGAGTCTGCCTCAGAAAAGGTAGCTCCCCTTCAGTCCCGTAACAACCACTGAGAAATCCTCCTTGACGTCATTGAGCTAGTTGCTGATCAAGGCTTTGCTGGTGACTCACAAGGGCATGCCTTTCCTGAAACCGACGCCATCATCCGGGCCAAGCTTCTCGCTTGGCGCTCCGCAAGCGTCAAGGGCGCCTGGGCTCGGGCCAACTGCCCAAACCGAAGAGGAGAAAATGCCACTTTTCGACGCCACTCCATCAGTACCGGGCCTTTGCTTTGGCCTTCTTCCGGGCTTCTTGCTGGGCAATCAAGGGCCCCGTCGGCACCGCCTGCGTGCTCCCAATACCGTGACAACCCCTGCCGCATCTGGTTTCTCGTGAGTCCGCTGACACGAGAGGAATGAGCTGAACGGTTCACACGCGTCATCATGTTTACCAAAATGGCACAACAAGAGTGGCTCCAACCCCCTCCCCCTCCTCCTGGGCCACCTGCTCTTCCGCAGGTGCTTTCGGCTGCTTCCTCACCTGCTTCACCTGGAACCACAGCCCTTCCCCAAAAAAAGAGCCCCACCCCGCGCTGCTCGCAATCCGCTCGCCCGGCCTTCATGAGCCACAAGCTGCACACCAGCGCTTGAAGCTGAAATTCACGGCCAAACAATCACCCTCAAAGCACGTGGCTTTCATAAAGTCTCGCTCAACATTCAGATCGTGCCGCAATCCGGAGAGACAACTCTGAAACCCAAGAAGGCCTACCAAACCCAAGCTCGGCAGCTGATTGCCTCCCCCCCCCACAGCCCGCCATGAGTGGCTGAGATGCGGATTCGTCTCGGGGAACCTCCCACCGTGTCTAGTGTTCCTATTGAGGCCGAAGAGGTTCCCGGGCCCCCCGCAGCCGTTCACATCCGGGGCCGGGAAGTCTGTCACGCGAACCTTGCTGCCTGGCTTCGGACAGGGAGCCCGTCCACATGCAATGGTTCCTTTCACAGGCCACCGGCTTTGGACCCAGTGGCTCACTTGTATTTAAGTTTATGTCCCACTTCTCACTTGAAAGATAGAAAAGCATGGTGAAGATTTCATGGTTTCTCTGACCTGCAAAGATGTTCTCCAACATGAATAGTGTATTAACGTGTATTTCTGATGGAGCTACATCTCTTCTACAGAATTACTATTAGATTCTTTCACCGTCCGTTTTTGTATGCAGTGGGGAGACTCGAGACCAAAAGCGAGCAAGTCCCAGCCAGACAAAGGTGAACCCAAAGAGACGTAAAGAGACTTGCCAATCAATTGGGTTAATCCTATTTGAGAGCTTGTTTCATTAGGTGCCTTCTCTTATTTATCTTGGGTGCTGTAGATCTCCTACAGAAGAAGTTTAACTTTTGCAGGTTAAAAGGAAATATGAGGGGAATCCAAAAAGGTAAAGTCTAAAAATCCACAGTAGAGTTCTTGTATCTTAGTCTCTTCAATTCTTGTTAGCATTCTCTCCTAGAATTATTCTGTATTGCGTGACAAGGCTGACGAAGCCATGCCTTTCACACATGCTCTTCGAAGAGTGATAGCTGCCCAGGCCTGGCCGGATGTTGGCGCCGTCCGGCCTCAAGAAAGGACCGGAATGGCAGCGGCTCTGAACATTTGGTTGGTTTAAGCCTCGTGGCGTTCCTTTCGTTGATAAAGCTTGGGAAGCCATGCGCGTTCTGCTTTTGAATTGGGGAGCCTGGACATCCTTACATGTCACCTGCTGTGAAAATTGACCACATCAAATGTGGTATCCATGTGCTCTTGCGAAGAACTGTGGATTCTGAACTTCCCTCCAATCAATCAAATCACGGATCATGACTGACAAAGCTTAAAGGGGCAAAAACAAGCCACTCTGGCTGCACCAGGAGCGCCCGGCGGCAACATGCCTACTGCCAACAGGTGGCCTTGCGAAACAATTTCAGCAACAAACATTCTTTCTCACCAAAAGTTGACTCGAATACTCCAAGCTGAGGCTGGCGCATCGACGGTTCTGGCCTTGCACGTGGCCCGGCCCGCTCCAGCAAAAGGACTGGCCCCCCGCCCCAATACAGGTGGCTACATACTTCTTGAGACGCCTTAGAATACAGTCTGTGGATTTGAGCAACCTACTCCAGCATCAGGGTGGTGAACGTTGCCTTGCTTGGTCAACACCGCTGTCATGTGTCTTGCACTTACACTCAATCAAGGTCGCTCATTGGTTCCGTAAAGAATGGCAGTGGAACATTATGAATCCTCTGTGCTCCCTTGGCCAACGGAGAGTTAGCTTTCTGAGGTGTTCCCCATGCAAAATAAGAAATTGTGTGGTTGAAAGAGCACGAGGATCAGCGAAAAGAAGAAAATGAGGCGTTCAAAGGTGACCAGCCATTCACCCTGCCCCTGGGCGCACGGGGGCGTGGTAGGCGCTGCCTGCGGCCTAAGTATAGTTGCAAAGGGTCTTGGCTGGCCGCGCTGATGGAACGAGCCTCACGGCTGAGAAAACAATCCCCACGCCCATGCAAGGACTCATAAAAGGATGAACAAAACTAAAACTCGCAACTTCCAGAGTCTGGAAATCATGTGGCTGGCACGAAACAGAAAAGAGCACCATCAATTCAAGAGCAAGCTAAGCAAATACTGCACTTTGGTTTGACACGTGCGCCCAAGTTGCGTGGCGTTTGCCGTGTGCGGCACCCCCCCCCCCCCCCCACAACCCACTGCACTGCACTTCTCGTATAAACTTTTTCCGGTCGCAGGGGCCGCTTAGCTGAGGGGCACAAGCTTACATAAAGCTTACATCGTTTAAAGGCTCTTCCAAGTGCAAAAACCGGCGCCCCGGCTGTGATGCCTTCCGGCTGGCTTCGCTCTGGGCCTCGCCGGGCTGCTTTCGCCCGCTTTGGCGCTGGAGCCAAACAAACAAGACGGGTTTGTCCCTTGTTGCGAGCGGATGTGTCCCTTTTACGCTTACCAACCTCCTTTGACGTCATGCAAACAGCAAACATTCAGCGCCCTCCCCCTTGCACCCCGTCCTGGCGGATTTGCTCTCTCACCAAAGCCTCAGCGCTGACCTGAGCGGTTGACTGACTCCCGAGTTCAACAAATGTGCCTGGAAGGTCCATGCCATGTTGCCATTGCCCTACCCAAAGGAAACACGGCATTGGCCACCTCAAGGAAACTTTGGCATCCATCTTCGCGAGGCCCAGGCCACCTTCGGGGGCAGCGTGGTCGGCACCTGGCGAAATGGAAGTGCGCCGCCTTTCACACTCCAAAGGAAAGACACGAGCATTGCCATGTTGCGAGAGACCTCTGAGGTTGCCTTTGTGACCTTTTGCCCGCTCTTCCGCATTGGTGGATTGGCCAGAGAAAGTCCAAACTTTTGTCTGCCACGAAAATGGTCATACCAAAAAGTATAAAGTCCGGGAACTGCGGAAGTGAATCACTCCTTCTCCGTGCTTCAACTTTCGGGTCTTTGGCCAGGCTGCGCCCCTTTGGTCGACCCGGCCTCTGCTGCAGCAGCGGCCAGGGCCAGCGTCATGTCCCGCGACATCGACTGACCTTCGGCCAGGCAGCTGTGCATCGCGCAGAAGCGTGGGGCAGGTGCACACGCGGGCAAATGTATGCACTTTGGCCCTCGAGCCATACTCAGCACCACCAGGCGCTTGGCTCTCCATTCTTCTTTCCAGGTGAGGGTGCAGCATAAGCCCGAATCAAGCACAAAAGCTGGCTACCTCAAAACAAATCTTCAGGAGACAGTGCAACTGACAAACGTCAAAACAACCAGGACTCGAGCATGCCAAACTGTGATAAATGCTGACCGGTGCTCGCAAGGAAACTTCCCTCCTACGGCAAGCGTGCGAAGCATGTGCCTGGGAGCGGCATTTTGGGCATCGTCTGCTCAGCCATCGCCTGCGGGGCAAGGGAAGCACGAGAATAAGCCATGACAAACCAGCTGCAAGCAAGCTCCTCACTTCTTGCTGCAGGCACCAAAAAAAAGCTACGTGCGACTGCTTTTCCCTCCTGACCTCGAGCATTGCCCATTTCAAAGCGAGCAACCAAAAGTTGTGTCAAAAGTCGAAAGTCCTTGCCAAACCTGAGCCGGCCGTGGAGATGATACCAAAGTCAGTCTCCACACTCATCGGCTTCAATGAGTGGGCAGGAGAGTCCTTCGGACCGACGGCTAAGTTGGAACGTCCAGCAAACCGCAAAGCACGCAGCGGCAAGAAACAACACCCAATAAGGAAACTGTGAAGCTGACTGCTCCCAATCTGCCCCAAGGAGGGACGTCATATTCCGCAATGCCAAGGCTGGCAGCGGAACATCTGTGCAAAAGCCACTGTGGGCGCAGCGCAGGCAGCCCGATGCACTCCAGCAGTCCGAATCCCGAGTGCAGCTCGGGCCCCGCCGGCCCTTGATGCAAACACCACTGGCGCCCCCGCCGCCCCCATCGCCACCTTGCCCGCAAACTGTCGGAAAGCTGCTCAAGTCTGCAAGGTGCCAGTGGCCTTTGGTATCCAGGCAGGCTGAAAGCTGGAGCTGAGAGTTGCTCATGGTGCGGTAGACGCAGAAGCCAGCACCCTGCAGATCGTCTGCCATTCCCGCCAGATCCTTGCCTGCAGCCCGAGAGCCTTCAACAACCTGCAGCGGCTGAGCTGATAGCTCACATACCTGTCCGAAGAAGTCATCCGCGTCGCGGACGCCAGCGCAGGTGCCATGCGCCTCCCACTCATGACGCTCGAACCACCTTGCCGAGTTCTGTGAACCCTGAGTGTCGAAGCAAGGGTAAATCTTTGTGGGGTCTCGAGAGTTTTTGGGATGGTCGCACTCGGAGCTACCAAAATGTGAGATCTCAGGCCAAAGGCCATGCACGACAGGCTTGGGGTGCTTGTAAGGTCCACTGCCCTCGCCTGTCTCAAGGGTCAGTACGCCACAAACCTCCACGCCCTTTCCGCAATCCATGTAGCTGTGGCTCGTGAGGGGGCTGCACTTGGAAACCTCCGGTGTCCTTGGCCCGAGCGGCTTCCTCGGGAGGCAGCCCTGCAAAAGCTGCGCAAGGGCGACGCCGAGCGCCGCAAGCACCCAGCGGGCCATGGCTCGATCGTCACTCTCTTGAAAATAAGCAGAACCTGTCCTAACTGTCCGCGCACGCAGTGAGTTTGGAATCGCTGTTCTGCCATTGCTTAGTATTGGGCAGCGTGGAAAACGGGTGAGGTCCAACAACTCGTGAGACTCACGGAGCCAGCTGCAGTCTTCCAAAGAAACAGAAAACATGATAAGCCTTGCCTTCTTGACTTCGGTGAGAACGCCCTGGTCTGGTTCCACCTGCATTGGCAAGTGTTGAAACTGAGCTGGCCTTCCCCCAGTCACGAAGTCCAGGTGCCAGGGCACTTGCTGCACAAATCAAGTCGTGCTCTCCAACTGCCAACCCCCCCCCCCCCGAGAGCAGCGGCCTCACCCTCAGTGACTTTCACCTCAGAGTGCGAAATGGAGCAGCCACAACTGCACCTAAAACACTCCGCTCTGCGCCAATGGCCCGGGCTTGGGGACGACGGCTTGCAAAGAGTTGGAAAACAAAAGGCACAGAAGCTCCACGCAAACCAATTGCTGATTCCTTCAGCGCTGGGCTCCTGTTCAGCATGCCCCATTTGCCATCCACAAGTTCCGGACCATTCCCCTAGGCCAGCCGGCGTTGCGGGCTTGGGGACGGCCTCCCTCCACCACGAGGTCAAAAACCACCGCCTCCCCTGCCAGGAGTCCTTGCCAAGCCGGTCTGGCTTGCAATGCGGGCTTAAACACCCTACCTTGCGCTTCCATGACCAAGGACGCACTCTCGGGATAGCACGTTGTTCCAACAGCTTTTGGCACGTCAAAGTCGAAATACAATTGTTGCAGCTCATGGCCTATACGCCCGATGAGGTGCGAGTTGTACACGAAGATATCTCGCGCAAAGCCGGGCACCATGATGAAACCGAATCCTGAGCAGGCGTCATCAAGCCAACCAGAAAACAGGCGGCCCAAAGGCATAATTCACTGAGCTGCATAGGCAAGAGGAAACCAGCGCAGCAAGCAGGTCGTGGGCGCATGAGTTGTTGAAGGTTGACCCCGCCCGATCCACTCGGAGAGTCTCGTGCGCCCACATCGACAAATAGCAAAACATTGACCCGCGCGATCCACGCACAGGGCAGCAATCCCGAGTAGCGCGGTTTCACCCCGCCTCAAAAGGCGTTCATCTTGATTTAGCAAGGAATTTCAGTTCTCTGAGCAAGGCATCCCGAATAAGCTCTCTGAGCAAGTTCTTGCAGCCAGTTTGAGTTTCTCCTCAAGCAAGTTTCTCTCTGAGCAAGTGTCTCGCAGCAAGTTGAGCGGGTTCTCTGAGCCCCTCTCAGCAGTTCTCTGGGTAAGTCCTCTACCTAGACCAGCGCAAGAGAATCTAGCGGAAGCAGCCTTCGCGATCCCTTCCCAATGCTGTCAGGGGAAACAACTGCTGTCGGCAACTGCTTCTGGGCGCACAAACAAAGCAAGGCAAGAGCAAGCAAAGCAAGCAAGAAAGCAAGCAAGCAAGGAAGAAAGCAAGCCAGCAAGGAAGAAAGCAAGCTAGCAAGGAAGCAAGGAACGAAACAAGCAAGCACCCAATTGAAAGCAAACCACAAGCAAACCGAAGCGAACCGAAGCGAAGCGAGGCGTGGCGTGGCGTGGCGTGGCGTGGCGAAGCGAACAAACAAACAAACAAACAAACAAACAAACAAACAAACAAAAAAACAAACAAGCAATCAAACAATCAATCAATCAATCAATCAATCAATCAATCAATGAATCAAACAAACAAACAAACAAGCAAGCAAACAAACAGACAACAACCAGCAAACAAACAAGCAATGGAGCCAGCAAGCAGGCAAACGAAACAACTAGAGGACGATTGGCCCGAAAGCATTTTTCCACAGGCGCTCATCCAGCCGCGGAGACACCTTTTTACATCGCTGCGGCGAGCGTGTCTGCGCGCGGCGATGCTCAGTGTGTATGGTCACATGAGAGCTCCATCTCATCATCCTACTTTCCTCTCGAACTGCGCCGCGCGATTTCTCACGAAAGTGGTCTGCGCAAGCTGCATTGTTCCAGGCTGCCGCGCGCAAGTTGCTCTCTGCAAGCTGCTGCACGCCGCTGCACGCAAGTGCTTTGTGCAAGTTGCTCTGCGCAAGTGCTCTGAGCAAGTTGCTCTGCGCAAGTGCTCTGCGCCAGTTGCTCCGCGCAAGCGCTTTGCGCATGTCCTCTGTGCAAGTTGGTCTGTGCAAGTTGCTCTGCGCCAGTTGCTCCGTGCAAGCGCTTTGCGCATGTGCTCTGTGCAAGTTGCTCTGCGCAAGTGCTCTGAGCAAGTTGCTCTGCGCAAGTGCTCTGCGCCAGTTGCTCCATGCAAGAGCTTTGCGCATGTGCTCTGTGCAAGTTGGTCTGTGCAAGTTGCTCTGCGCAAGTGCTTTGTGCAATTGCTCTGTGCAAGTTGCTCTGCGCAAGTTGCTCTGCGCAAGTGACTCTGCGCAAGTTGCTCTGCGCAAGTGCTGCCGGAGCTGTGGGAATGTGCTCCGCGTACTACGTTTGTACTTAAAAGTTGCGATTTCCAGCCGGAGCTGCCTCCGCGTACTACGTTTGTACGTAAAAGTTGCGATTTTCCAGCCTGAGCTGCGGAGCACGCTCCGCATACTACGTCTGTACTTAAAAGTTGCGATTTTCCAGCCGGAGCTGCAGGAGCACGCTCCGCGTACTACGTTTGTACTTAAAAGCTGCGATTTTCAAGCCGGAGCTGCCGCGGACCAGGGGGGAATCGAACCCGCGACCGCGGGATTGCGAAAGCAGGCGCGCAAACCACGAGACAACTTCCAAAGGCCGTTTTGCGAGCAAGAATATTGCACGGCGACAGCGAGAGCGCTTCGACACGCACAAACTCCGCAGAGGGTTCGCCGAGACTAAGACAAATTCGCACGGCGCCACAGCGAGAGCACTTCGACACGCACGATCCGCGTGCGCGCCGCAGAAATCGTAAGAAGTCCCCAGTTTTTCAACCTCGACCACGCGAATCTGCGCAGAGGGTCGCGCGCGCATGCTAAAATTCGTAAAAAGTCCTCAGTTTTTGAACCTCGACCACGCAAATCTCCGCAGAAGGTCGCGCGCGCATGCTAAAAATAGTAAAAAGTCCTCAGTTTTTGAACCTCGACCACGCGAATCTCCGCAGAGGGTCGCGCGCGCATGCTAAAAATCGTAAAAAGTCCCCAGTTTTTGAACCTCGACCACGCAAATCTCCGCAGAGGGTCGCGCGTGGCCAGCAGAAATCGTAAAAAGTCCTCAGTTTTTTAACCTCGACCACGCGAATCTCCGCAGAGGGTCGCAATCCCGAGCGATGATCGGCGCCTTAGAAACCTAAACTAACTTGCATAGCTGCTATCGCCGAAGCTCTACGCAAGCTCTACCTAACCTTGGCTCTGTGCCACCTGGCTCTGTGTCACTTGGCTCTGTGCCACTTGGCTCTATGCAACTTGGCTCTATGTAAGTTGGCTCTATGTAACTTGGCTCTATGTAACTTGGCTCTATGTAACTTGGCTCTATGTAACTTGGCTCTATGTAACTTGGCTCTATGTAACTTGGCTCTATGTAACTTCTATGTAACTTGGCTCTATGTAACTTGGCTCTATGTAACTTGGCTCTATGTAACTTGGCTCTATGTAACTTGGCTCTATGTAACTTGGCTCTATGTAACTTGGCTCTATGTAACTTGGCTCTATGTAACTTGGCTCTATGTAACTTGGCTCTATGTAACTTGGCTCTATGTAACTTGGCTCTATGTAACTTGGCTCTATGTAACTTGGCTCTATGTAACTTGGCTCTATGTAACTTGGCTCTATGTAACTTGGCTCTATGTAACTTGGCTCTATGTAACTTGGCTCTATGTAACTTGGCTCTATGTAACTTGGCTCTATGTAACTTGGCTCTATGTAACTTGGCTCTATGTAACTTGGCTCTATGTAACTTGGCTCTATGTAACTTGGCTCTATGTAACTTGGCTCTATGTAACTTGGCTCTATGTAACTTGGCTCTATGTAACTTGGCTCTATGTAACTTGGCTCTATGTAACTTGGCTCTATGTAACTTGGCTCCATGTAACTTGGCTCTGTGCAACTTGGCTCTGTGCAACTTGGCTCTGTGTAACTTGTCCAAGGGCTCCGCACGGAAGAACCCTTCGCGATGCTTTCGGGAACAAGCAAACAAACAAACCAACAAACAATTAAAGCAACAAACAGACTCTGAGAAACAAGTCGGCAAACAGAAAGACGGGCAAACAGACTGAAAAAAGACAGAGAGACAAAGAGACAGAGAGACAGAGAGACAGAGAGGCAAAGAGACAAAGAGACAAAGAGACAGAAACAAAGAAACACAGAGACACGAACAGACAAATAGACGAACGAACGACCAACCAACCAAGCAACCAAGCAACCAAGCAACCAAGCAACCAAGCAAGCAACCAACCAACCAACCAACCAACCAACCAACCAGCCAACCAGCCAACCAGCCAAACAAACAATCAAACAAATAAGCAAACAAGCAAGCAAGCAAGCAAGCAAGCAAGCAAGCAAACAAACAAAGAGACAGACAGACAGACAGACAGACAGACAGACAGACAGACAGACAGACAGACAAACAAACAAAAAACAAACAAACAAACAAACAAACAAACAAACAAACAAACAAGCATATACACAAAACAAACAATACACACACACACATGCACGAACTTGCTGCAACCAGATTTATTTGCTGGTTGTACCCCTGATTAGGGCACCGTCTGTACTAAAACTGAAACCATACCAACCAGACGCACAAACACAAACACACACTGGAGCCTTTGAGTTTGATCCGCCGCACGGCGGACGAATCTCCGAATTTCGAAAGAAAAAAACATGACAAGGTACTACAGGCAACTTCCAATCTGAGGTCCCAGCCCTTGCGGGTGTTGTAGCTCTTCACCCGGCCCAAAACTCTTTGCGCCCTGGGCAGCTGAGCGGTGGCTGTCTGAAAAGTGACATCAAATAGCTTTCTTTAAGTCAGCTTCCAAGGGTCAGCGATGAAGCTCGCCACTTTGCTCGCAACATTGGCAACTGTCGAGATCCAAAAGTCCGAAAGCGAACGGGCTCTATGAAAGCCTACTGCCACTGCCGGAGATCCAAATCACAATGCTACACAACTGAACCTTGGGCAACCGCGTGGAGGGGCGCAAGCATCGTGTCACAAACCCATGGCCGCTACGAGCTCCGGCTCGGCTGCCCCGCGTGGCCGCAGAAGCGGCGGTGCTCGGCTTCTCCTCCACGGGCTTCTTCGGCGCGGGCCGCTTGATGCCCATGAGCGGGACCAGGTGCTGCTCCCCGATCCTGGCCGTGGCGAATGCCCATATGCAATTGTGTGTGTGTGTGTGTCGCGTATGCAACATAGGCCAATGCAACACACATGAAATATGCAGGGTTTTAAAAAAGCGGCTGATGTGACGTGTGTGAAAACTCTTGTAAGCTGGCCCGCTCAGCCCTTTTGTTGCACTTGCCACTGGCTCAAAGATTTGAGCTCGCCAACAACACATTGCGCTGAATCCTGTTCATCGTTGGCGTCCGTGTCATCCCGGAGACCCTGCCATCCTTGTCATCCCTTTGATCTCTTTCATCTGGGAAGTTGTGCCGATGGGTGGCCCCCCTGAAATGGGGACATGATCAAACTCATGGGGTGATGTCTCATTTGTCGCTCTTCTGAACTGAGCACTTCCATCCTCGGGCTGTTCTAAAACAACTCTCTCCCTCAGGCCAAACACCCAATGCGATGCACATCTCGCGCCTCGGCAGGGCTTCCTTCAGCCCGGCAAAGACCTCACTGTCGTCGGCCTTGGTCTTCGGCGCCGGCCCTGTTTTAAACTCAGAGGCCAGGAAGTCTGGAAAAGCGGTTCTGGACAAAATTGGCGGGGAAGATCAAGTAATCTGCAAAAAGAAAGACCTGTGCCCCCCCGCTTCTAGGCCGCAACAAGACTGTGGGTTCTTCGTAGCACCGTATCCACAATATTCGGCGCTTGAAATCGGAAATAAGAGGCCCTTTTGCATGGGAAGGGTGGTCATTGCCCAGCCGGGGACCGCACCAACTGCCGGACGCAGCTGCAGAAGACAAGAAGCTCCTCAACGCGTGAATATCTCTCAAGGCACTCGCTGAGTGAAGAGATGTTCTTGTAATTTTCCAGATTACTTTTGACGTCGTCTCCGGTCCAGGACTTTGTGCGGATTTGTTGTTCCCCCCGATCTTGGCTTGTAGGACTGGCCATTCAACTGTTTGCCCTCCAAAGAACCCGCCGATGGCTTCTGGGATCTCAACTCCATTGTGCTCCAAGATTGATGAAGTCAATCCATGAGCAAGCTCCCCCAGCCCGCTCCGAGGAAAAGTCAAAGCTGTCACCAGGTTCACCCCTCCGCATTAAACCAAAACATTGCCTGATGTATCCCGAGCCTTCACCGCTATGAACTGCCGGTCACATACCAAGAGCTGACTAGCCGATGTCCCTTGCAGCCGCTCCTCTGTCTCCCTCTTCTTCATCTTAGGCTTCGCTGCTGCAGCCCGGATGGCCGCCCTCAACTCCTAAAGGTCACAACTTCACACTTCACCCCCTCCCATGCTTTCGAACTAAGACACTACACATGGGAAGGGGAGAGAAATTGGCACCCGCTCCAACTAAGCCCAGCGTATCCATCCCTTGACCTCTGCACCCAATTCAGCAGCACGGCACCTCGATGGCTTTCAGCTTCTCGGCACTGGGCCTCAGCCACAGACGCGAACTTAAATGATTTTCCTGGCACGTAAACCTAAAATCCCGTTTCAGTTGCAAAGAATCACACTTGCCCTTTTTCCGTGCAAGCGTTGCAGGGCACCTAGGGTTCGCTGGCTGACGACTGGCACGCGCTATGTGCTGGAGGTGGCTGCTTCCAAGTCTGGTACAATGTGCCTTGATCATACATACATACATATAAAAATATAAATTTTACATCTGCATTACAAACATACACATACACATATAATGTGGATGTATATATAGATATAAATTTCTTCTTATGTGTGTGTGTGTGTGTGTGTCTGTGTGTATGTCTACTCTCCACTGTTCTGGGCAACGCCTTGGTTGGACAGCCCGTTGCACTGCATGCTGGGAAACCTGCAGCTGAAACCTGCGCGAACTCAAAACTCTATCACTCCGACGAGCTTTCGGGCCTGTCGGAACCGTCCGAATCCGAGCCCTCTGGGCTGGTGATGGCATTGGCCCGGTGCAGCAGACGCCGCAGGTGCCCCGCAAAGAGCGGGGAGCTGGCCGAGGCGTGGCGGAAGAGCTGGGACGGTGGCAGATGCTGGGTGACCTCCCCGTAGCTCAGCACGAAGATCGTGGGCAAGGCCTCCAAGTCGATCATCTGCGTCATGAAGAAGGCCCGGTCCGCGGGAAGCCAGCAAAACTGAGCCTCGCCCGGCCCGCTCCCGTACTTCCCGGAAATTAAGAACATTTGGGCCAGGAAGGAAAACTAAATGGGATTCCAGGCGATCCTCCAAGAAGTTGTCACGATCCGTAATTACCAACCTAGGCAGCGTCAACCAGTGCCCGCCTCCAAATGCTTGCCCGCCACCCGGCCCAGCACTCGTCTGCACCTCTGCCCTGCCGCGCTGCCGTTGTCCAGGAGCATCACCGCACGCTCGTGGGGGGCGATTGTCTTCACAAACTCCTTCTCACGACAAATCACCCACGGACCCTCTACGTACCATCTACATGTTCGCAGGGGCACCGTCACATTCACTTGGGCAGCCAAACCCCCAGAGGTCAGCATTCGGGATGCTTTAGTCATACCATTCAATTCACCTCCCCACTCACTCGGCCACCCGGGCGTCCTTCTCACTGGCTAGCTCCTTCAGCTGCCCGTGGCCTTGCTGCTTCCAATGGCTCTCTTTCTGCAACTGCTCGCGGCGCTCTCTACGCAGGCGTGCCAACTCATCCTCCTGATGGCACAGCAGGCATAAAGCAGATGGGAACTTTTGTTTCTGCAAGTTTGCCCACGCATTGTAGGGCCTTCTGCATTGGTTGCCGCGTCAAACCTTTAGAGCAAGTAACAAACCAATGCAAAGCTCAGTCCATCATGAAAAATGAGGCAAAGAAGCTTCCTTGCACTTTGCACACCTGGAGCGACAACCAGGCAAGGAATAGCTCACAAACTGAATTTCAGAATCCTGCGTAGGCGGGACGTCTCAACCGACAAAACAATGACGTTTTTCAAGGCACGGCCGACGACCCCTCCTCCGGCGGCGCCTCTGGCACGCTGGGGGCGGGGGCAAAGGCGCGGCAGGGGTCGCCTCGCTGCACGTCACCGTTTGCCTGCAGGATCAGCTGCCCCTCACTGGCCTCGCTGAGACTGCCAGATTGAAGAACTTGCGATGCGAAACCAAAAGCCAGGGGGCATTCAATTCCGCACCAAACGTCGAAACCCGCTACAATTCATACCTTGCTCATTCTCCTACCTCGCGTATCTGATACCCCACACCTTCCCACTTCACTTCTCGACTCTTCGCCTTCTGCGCCGCCAGGATGGCTTCCGAGAACTCCCCGCTGCGGAGCTTATCGGTGAGGCCTTCCAGGGCATCGCAGTCCCGCACGGACCCCTCGGGCTCCCGGTCCCGCGGCATGAGGCCGCCGCGCCGTGAGGCTTTGTTCTGTGAGTTCCTTTGGCTGTCAAGCTGCTGTCAAGCTTTGGCTTTGCTTCTTCTTTTTTTTGGGGGGGTGGCACTCTGACGTACAACAGCCTGGGCGGCACATCTGCCAAGTTGGTCATCAAAAGCTGAAGAGCGGCCGCGCATGGGCTAGCACGAGCATACCAGGCATGCTGTGGGGAGGAGTTCTGCCAAAAAAAGAAGGGAGATCTCATGCCAGAGGCGTGATGTTTACGTCTCGTTTGACATTTAAGGGGGAGAGGGGCAAGTGTTCAAAGTACCTACTTACATTTGGTGTTTGGTTTGTTTGTCCATAAAAAAAGGTGCCCACATTTTATGGGGTTCACAGGCATCATGCGTTGCAATGCAGACCAAGTGCTCAGGGGGGCCTCGTTGCAACTCATGAGATCCTACTTTGCTCAGCGCGGATTGCGCCAGGTTCCGCATGAGCTGGCTGTTACCGCATCTCTTTCCAAATTTCCAATTTCCACCTCCTTTGCCAGAATGAAAAGAACCTTCTCCTGGTCCGTCAACCTCCGTAGTCCAGCTCCTTCCCGCTCTGCTTCGTGAGGTAGGACAGGTGCTTGTGGATGTCCCGCTCATTGCTCTGTCGTTCGCCACCACAGAATACAGCGTCTTATCTCCCCACTCAGTCTTCTCATCTGCCCACCAAATAGCGAAGATCCTTGTTCTGGTACCAGCGTGCGTCTTCCTCGTCCACCTTGCTTGGCTTGACTGTTCCACCTCGTCTTCCACCAAGTGGTTCGCCAGATGCTGTTTGACCAGGATCAGGATGGTCTGAAACTCGTCGTTGCACCAGCTTGTCTTGATGTGGCTCACTCCTTCTGGTAGTGGTCGGCAAAGACTCTTCGCGGTCTGGCCCGGTTGAATCACCTCGTCAGCCACCGAGTGATCCTCCTGACCACTTTGTCCACTCGTGACCACTCTCATAGTTCAGCTACTGTTTCAGATTGCGCTGGTAGTTCCGTGAGCGAGGCTTCTTCTGGATCGGCGTTTTCCACCACCAACCTCCATAATCCGCCGCAATCTTCTTCCCACAGCTTGGTGTAGAAGATGAGTTCGTCACCTGCCATGGCTTGATCAGACTGCAGTCGGCTCTCTTCTCTGACGAGGCTGCAGGTGTCGGGCTTGTGCTCGTAGATTGTGTAGGGGCAGGGGTCCTCAAGCCGCCGAGGGCACCTTCCGCTGAACTCCACCTTCATCTGGCTGTGGTTGTTGCTCATCTTTCTGCCCTTGCTAGTGTATGAGGTCCAGCTTCTTCTTCGTCAAGTTCTCCTTCTGCTTCTTCCGCTGGGTAGCCAAGCCGTTGGTAGTTCAGCTTTTCCCTTGGCGCGTAGCAAGCCCAGGGGAATGGCTTCCAAGCCTTGCTTCTCAACCTTCGTCTGAGAAATCCACGCTTGCCCTTCCGCAAACGTAAACAGGTTCGCCTTCCTGAAACTCACTAGCCGCCTTGGTCTTGCTCTAAGTGCTTGTTGTAGTTGCTCATGGCTGTCAAGGTCTATCTGCTCGAATTCCCCAGGATATCATTGGTCAGATGCATGAAGAGGGTGGGGCTGACGTCCAAGCACTTGTTGGTCATTGTCTGTAGCGCCCAGGACACTGAATGAATCAAGTCCTGAACCTCCCGGAGTGACGTTGGTGGTCTCAACTCCCTTCGTTCCGTAGTCCCATTCTGGAATGGTGCATCTCGACCGATTGGCAGCGGTTGTACCCCTGTTGTTCAAGACCTTCTTGCGCCAACGAACTCGTTGCCTTGGTCGTGAATGAGGTAGGATGGGCTGCCAAACGCACGCAGACAACACCAGCTCGGCTGTCCTCCGGTTGGGGCCATCGTAAATGCGCTGTAGAGCGTACGCACGTGACATGCTCTGCTCTGTCATCCGTCCCATAGATGAACAGCAGGTCTATTTCGATGACCCGCATAAAGTACTCGTCACCAACAGCTTGGGTCGCAGTTCCTTCTTGCTCCCGTTCTTCACTCCCTCGTCGCTAAGGTCGTAAGTCTCAGGTCGAACTCGTAGAGGACCAAGCGTTCCATGGGCTAGTCCTCCGCCGCGGTTCTGGCCACATCGACCAGATTCCAGTAGTCACCCTTCCCGCGCCGGGTCAAAATGAGTAATCACCGTTTCGGTGCTTAAAGCGCTCCTGCCGTAAACCATTCCACCGTGCCCTGAACCGCAAACATCTTGTTCCGATCCACCTTCTCAACGTCCGTGTTGGGAAACTTCTCGTTCAGCCGCTCTGGGCGCACGTCACACCACCAGCACATCATTGATGAACTCCATAACAGCTGAGTCCAAAGTAGCTCCCCACCTGCTTATGTCGGTGCACTCGTAGATCTTGTCCTCGCTTCCACCCGGATTGTGAAGAAGCATGTCTGACTTCTGGCGCTGGCGGGCATAGCATCACTCCCTGCGCAACCTTCAACTCGTCCAGGATTGGACTTCCTCTCGGCACATTTCCACAGGAAGAAGGTGCTCGGCTTGTGGACGCTCAAGTACAACCTGCCGCCCTTGCATAGGTGGCACTCCTGACTCAGCACCAGCGGCGTCTCTGCATCTGAGTGACGTCCTCCAAGTCGTGCAAATTTGAGATGAGATCGCTGTCGTCGCTGTATCTTCTGCGTAGGTGCCGATGAGACCACAGGCGCTTTCGTTGCTGACTTCGCTGCAGTCTTCGCCGCTTCTTCTTCTTCTTCTTCTTCGAGTCCACCGCGCCAAAGTGATAGTTGGGCTTGAGGGTCACCTTGATGTGGTTCCACTGGGTCAACTGGTTCACGGGGCATCTTCTGCTCTTGTTTGCTGTTTGCACTTGAGACACTTCTGGAAACTCCTTTCGCTGGGGACACTCTCGGCTCCAGTGGCCAATTTGCTTACGCTGATGGCGCCTGGTCTTACGCTTAATCTCGCTCAGACAGACACGGCTGCGGGTCATCTGGAGCACCTTCCTGTGTTCCAGATAGCCTCCACGACCACCTCCGAAGCGCGTCCCAAAGGTGGGGTTCCTAGCTCCAAATTGGCCTTGCCGTGTCTCTTGCCCTTCGTGCGGTCCCTGACCTTATACAGCGTCTCCTCCAAGTAGTTGCTCCAGGGCTTCGTCCTCCTCCATGACTGTAAGAACTTCACCCATGCAGATTATCTGGGGTTCGTCAGTCAGCCAAAGAGATCCTCGCCACACAAAATTGCTCTCAGGATAATCACCTCCTCATAGCTGTCTTGGGCATGCTCCTCCTCATACTCTTCATCTCCGTTCCGGACTCCCAATACAAACGTCTCCAACATCCTCCACCTCCAAAACCCGTCCAACGTAACAGGACATCTTCTGGATGCGGTAGTCTGTGCTCAAGTTCCCGTGGCGGAGAATGAGGTGTCCGAGGAGGTGTCTTCCAGCCTTGGACTCCAAGAGGTCCAAGCCCTGTTTCCGCTGCTGCGAAAGCCGCCTTTGTTGATGCTCTGGCCTCTGTCTCGTTTTCCTGCCTCATCGAAGGACTACTCCAATTGCTGGTTCCGGAGGTACATGCGCGCCTCCTCAATGATGCGCACGATGCTAGCTGCCAGCACTCAGCTCACTACCCAGCGGAATGCTGTCGATGACACTCTCGACTTGCCGCAGGCAGGTTCAGCTTGGCGCTGGGCCCATCTTGTAGGTGTCGTCGGCTGGCGTCTCAGTAGCCACTGCCTTGTCCTCGTCATCTAACTCCTTGTCTTCGTTGGCCGTCATCCCAGCCGCGTTGCCACCACCGCCTTGGCCTCTCCGGGGAAATGAGCCGCTAGGCCTCCGGGTCGCTGTAGCTGATGAGGACCTCAGCAACTCGAAGCCACCTTGGGTGAGCTCCAGAAAGATGCCAAAGACGATCAGCTGAATCAGGTGCTCCTGTTTCTCCTCTGCCGCCTCCTCGGTCTCCACCCAATGGGGCTCACCAGGTAGAAGACCAACCTGTGCAGCCCCAGCCGTCGCCGGGGCTCCGCTACTACTGTGAAGCGCGCGATGCTGCGCAGGCACTGACCATTTATCCGCGACTCAAGGGCCCTGTGTATGTTGTGGGGTTCACAGGCATCATGCGTTGCAATGCAGGGGCCAAATGCTCACTGTTTGACACCAGTCAAGGAAACAAAAAATAACAACGAAAACTGTCAATTCACAAAAAAAAAAAAATGAAGAAAAAAGACATGTAATTACATGTAAACAAAATAAGAAGGTGTGAAGAAAAAAAGACTAGAGAAATTCCCAACGCTGCCCGTCAAGCGTTTGCTTTTACAAACCCCGCCAACTGCATTCAGCAAGCAAGCAGACGTAAACATGAGCACTCACACGTAGGAATGATGCAAAGAAGAAACTGAACAAAACAAGACCCCTGATGCCAAAAACAAGAAGTGGTGCCATGTGCGCGCCCCAGGCTCCCGATTGCACAAGTGGGTCTCCGAGCGAAGTGAACCCTTAGCAACCCCCCCACCCCCGAATCCGCAGGTTGCAGGCCAGTCTGCAGCTTGGCAAGCGAGACGTTTCCGAGAAAATTCCTTCGAAGCAAGAACAAAAATTGAGGCGCTCCCAGTCAAATGGAACCTGACAGAAGCCTGGAGTAGAATGATCTAATGTTAACTTCGAATCCCAAGGCGTCCTACTAATCGGAGGGTCCCACTAAAACTAGTCATTTGCCCTACTCAAAGCTGACCACCCCTGATTAGGGCTGTCCAGATTAATGAAGATAACATTGGCGGGGAGCCATGTCGGGTGAAACGGGATGGAACGGGATGGAACAGGATGGAACTCGACGCAACCGGACAGAAACGGGCGGCTCGCCAGGCAAACCCCAGTCAGAGGGACAACAGGACTGGGAAAAGGAGACATGGACAGGCGGTGCAAAATACGAGATTCAAGCTCAACATTTACTTTCAGACATACCCGCGCTAGGAAATCTCACGCGCTGGACCTTAACTTCCTGTCAAACTCCTTCCATTGTCAGGTCTGAGGCACCAACGCGTTGGCCTGCACAGCAATGAAATGCCCACGTGCTGATGTCTGACTTTGTCAAAAGTGGCTCGATTCCTGCCCTCCTCCCCCCGAACACAGCCTCTCTAAGCCAGCCTCTCCCCTCGCTGAGCTCCCGCCTGCACCTCTGCGGCACCGTTGGAAATCTCAGCACCGAGATCGTGAGAAGTTGCCTCGGCGATCGCTTGTTGGCAAAGCATCCGACGCAAAGATATCTGGCCTACTGGCGACTAGTCAACCCAGGCCCTGGGATGCAAAGTTCGGCACTTTTAAGTGATCCGATTTCTGCATCCTAGTCCTACCTCCCTGCCCCCTTCCTTACGCAAGTGCTTGGATAAAGCTAGCCATTTTCCAGGTTGCTTGCATCAATCGTTCTCGGACTTCTTTGCATCATATCTGTTTGACCCCATCCGGCTGACCCGGCCGGGAAACCTGAAAAGAGTTAGATTTGCGAAATCAGCAGGTGCACACATGTGAGGGCCTGACTTTGAGTGCTCCAGCATCAGCCTCGGCTGCGTTGGCCTCTCCATCTTCTCCATTTGTAGCGGCCTGCGGCAGTAAATCTGAAGTTAAGAGGTCAAAACGAAAGCCAAAAGCACAAAGTTGTCCCCGAACCTCAAAGTCAGCTGAATGCATGCGAGCTCCTGTGCCTCCTGGCTCTCGTTGCCTGGGTCGTCATCCCCATCCGTCCTTGGAAAGCGTTGGCCTTCAAGGAGCGTATCCACAGCTGAATTTGCATTGGGCCTCCCAGAAGGCTGTATTGACCAGGTGTGACCCCTACCTATTGAAAGCCTGAAGCATCCTATCAACCCTGACCTGAACATGGCATGCCACAAGTGAAGGCTTTGCACATCATAAAGGTCCAAGCTGAAGCTGGGGCTGCCACTGCATCGCAAATTGCCTAGGTGCGAGGGACTTGAAGGACCGGCGTCCAACGAATTTTCAGCCCAAGGCGACTGAATAAATGCGGCCGCGGCACCCTTATCGGCAAAATCCACAAAATCTAGGATACTAGAAGCAGGCTGGATGTGTCCGGATGGTGGGCTGGGGGTCTTTCTGGGTGTTAGCTGCTGAAGTCTGCTATGAGCCTAAATGAGGAAGCAGCGATGGCCAAGGGCACGATTTCAACATCTCACACAAGCCACTGCAACAAGCCACTGCAAGATGGACAGCTACTTTGCCCTTACCCTGCAAGCTTCCGAGGTATGCTTGTTTTTCCCCACGAAGGGTCACTGGGACCCAGTGGCTGCTGCCGACTGAAAGTCCGCAAAGTCCGCAAAGTCATCTGCGTCCTGCAGGGCGGCCATTCGATGGCCGACTCTTTTTGAGCAGCTGACACCCCCGACCTCCCCCCAAAGACAAACGCGGAAGAATCCTGCAACTGTATGTGCACATGGCATGTGGTGGCATGTGGCAGAAGCATTGCAAGAGCAAAAATCAGTGCCGCGGTTAGATTTTAAAACAGATACAAAACACGAAGTCGGGATTTGCTAAGGTAGTCTTGAAAGCCATGCTACACTGCAAGCTCAGCGCAGCTTGGCACAGCTCCTCCTGCACCCTAGCCCTGTCCCGCTGGAACCCGGAACCCCTAAACACATTTGGGCAGAGATCCGAGAATTGCTGCGGAACAAATGAGGGAGAAAAAAAAAGAAAACAAAAAAGAATAAGAAAAAAAGTAAAAAAAGAAGAACAAAAAAAAGGGCCCAACGCTCAAGACTGAGTGAGGCCAGCGCCCCAGCAGGCGCAGGCGCCACATAGGCAGCGGAGGCGGGCGCCTCCCAGGCACATCCGGCTGTGCACTTTGCGCCAGGCTCTGACAATCTTGACACCAACAGTTATTGGGTACAAGCTCATTCGAAGGCCATGTGTTCATGCATCCGGCACCTGGATTGAGGGAATTGAGGAGGCTCCGGTGGATGAAGGCGGCGGAGCCTGTGCACAAACAAACCTTTGTTCAACATCTAGCTGCAAATCCCTGCAAATCGATGGTCACTGTAAGCGCATTCATCAACTGTGGAGCTTGCTTCCTGCCCTTGCTGCAACTTCGGCACCGCTCAACCCATGCACGCATCCCCAGCCACCCCCTACCCCTTCCCCGCCAGCATGCTAGCTTCGTAGCCTGCAGCTTTTTCCCGGCGCCTGCCGAAGGTGCATGAGACTTCTGAAGTGGACTGGGTATCCTGATCTATCACGAACAAACGTCTACTTTGCATTCTAAATTCGAGCCCATTTCGGCACTCGAGGCCCCTGGCTATGGACCACAGCATTATCAGAAGGCTCACAACCAAAAAAACAAAACCAAAAAAAAAACGGTCCCTAAAAGTGCCGCGTCTGATGCCATCAGTTCCCGAAAGTATAACCGTGCCAAGCCTGCCGCCTTTTCCAGGCAGGCTGACCTCACAAGCTGCCCTCCCCTGAGACCTGAAACATCAAGTCAAGCCGCAGTGGCATCGCTTACACTCGACTAGCGTGAGAGCACCGGCTGCCACCTCACTTACAGCCTGAGCATATAATATGCTCACTTCAAACTTCTGCCATCCTTGGAAGCGTGCTGATCAATGATATCAATCCTGCATTCCCCGGTAAACTTGATGCCACCACAATATGTGTTCAACCTGCCCCTGCTGTCCACCTCCATGCACATGTTTTAAGCCTTGTCTAGGTAGGCAACAAATTCATGTGCCCGGTTGAGATGCGAAAGGTTTCAAAGCAATGATGAGCTACTGTTTGATTCAGGGTCCAAGCCAACTTTGCACCATCAAAAACTTGGTGCGATACCATTTGAAGTCGCAACCCTCACCTCCATGACCAAAGCGAATGCAATGCCGAACCATCGCTCCAATTCTTCCGCTACTTGGTGGGAAATGAAAAGGCTGCTTGGTTTCCAATCGTTCTCAGCGTCTGTTGCAAAGTGTCTTGCTGTGAACAATGGGCCGACTGCTATGAAACAATTGGCCCGCGAGCAAGCAGCCCCTGTAATCCATGACCATCTGCAAGCCAGGATAAAGACGATAACTCCAATCACCGACTGACTCCTAGAAACATGACGGAGTTGTCATAAAGCGTCCTCATTTCTACATGACACGACCTCTGCTCGCAAGCCGTGCAGCTCAGGCGCTGTGATGGTCTGCCCTTCCTTCAGCGACAGGTCCTTCCTGGGAAGCCATGCCACAAACCGCCAAGCAACTGCAGGTCTCATGCCCAAACCATTGGGCTTCTTCGCCCATTGGGGTCCCTCTGGAACTACGGATGCAGCCTGCCAAGGCGCGTGGGCATTTCTGCGGCAGCCCTGGCCTCATGGACCTTGTCCACAAAGTTTGCCTATCCCGTCCCAGAAGCACCAACGCCTTTCAAACAGGAGGGGCTGTGATATGAAGACTGAGACTGTCTGTCAATGGGGCACCGAAGAGAGGAAGGGAGGCGAGGTTTCAATACCACAGCTATTCACAACATGACACAAAGAAGTCAAAAGAAAACCGAGCCATATTTGAGGGTCTAGTTGACACATGGGGGAACAAAAAACGTGTTTGTGCTCTCTGGCGCGAGGCCTGGTTTCACGTTCTACTGTTCCAGACCTACAGCACGGTTTTGGCAGGGAGCGTCCGCATTGCGAGAGTACTAACTGTGAGGGGCAGGCCAATCAACTCCTGCCCGGCGCCTTGAAATCCGCGAGGCAGGCATTGAAATCAAAAGCATCGTTGCCTCGGCTGGCCACAGCTGACATGAGTCAGCTGACTTATGTGCAGCTGAGGGTACGGTCACTGAATCCGAAGCCGATGAAGGCATGGCGCTGCCCATTCACCTCAACACGACAAACTAAGTTGCTGCAAGCGTGAAAGACTGGGACAAGTCGCTATCTTCAAAACCCAGTACCGGCTGGAATCCACCACGCGCTCAACATAGCTGTCGTACTGCGCGTTGGGAATCACCTGCAGGTCGATCGATTCCATGCCACTGCTTCCAAGCTCAAACAGCATCAGGATTCATCCTCGACTGCCCAACAATGATCCTGATTAGATCCTCTCTGAAACGCATGGTTCTCTCCATAGTGACTTTGCCAAAGTCGCCCAAACAAAGCTCACTTGCGACCCCAACTTCTGTCTCACTCGACCCTAATGAATCACTCGCTCCTGAAGGCCCGCTTGCCCCAAGTGGCTCACTTGCGCCGAGCCAAACCCCATGCTTAAGCGAGGGGTAATGCGGGGCAGGGAGTGTCAGGGATGGGGTGCTGCGCTCGTTCTATTAATTGCCTTAGTTCTTCCCATCTCTGTTGCCTACATCGACTTCCACATAGAACATGTCAGAAATCACATTGCAACACCGCCCATGCTTGTAGATGCCTTCCATTTGTGGGTCCCACCTCTCAGAAACACTGATAGTTTCCTGTAAGTTGGCCCCTTGCCCTGCTCCCATTCAAATATGACAAAGATGGAAACCAGAAACATAAGGCATCAATAATTGGAGAATAATTGTGGGTTTCAGCCATCCGAACGTTGGCAGCGCATGCGACGGTGGATGAACTTCCAAGCGGGTCATTCATTGTCCAGGCACCAATGCCCAATAAATAATACAGTAAATGGATCCAAGTCACACACTGTGCAAATAGATTGCCCGAGCCACTGTCCAGCAAACCTGAGCGCTACATGACTTGACACAAGCCATTGTCAAAGTGAGAGGTTTCCCTTCCTATGTATGGACGACTTCATGCTATGCCATCGGCATAGCAGCTGCCCATTACAGTACATGATCCTGCCAGTTGGAAGAACTGGCAAACGCCCTAGTTCCCGCCGCCGCCCATCTCAAAGCCCCCAAACGTAATTATCAAAGACAGCCAGGTCACGTATTGACACCTCCTTGCCGCGTGCCACCACCCGCACATTCCCTCGCCAAATGGCTTCCTGCACGTGCGGAACAAAAATCCAAACGAAAGTTGGAAAGGATTCAAACCTCGCTCTGCCCAACTGGGTTTTGAGTCTGAAGTTGGCACCTTCCAGTCTGATGCCTTGTGGCCAGAGGCAGATGCTGCTGGCGGCACCTGCACCAATCTGAGCTGTTTCTCCGGGATTACTAAAGTGGAAATGAAGTTGTCTGCTCGGGATGTGGGGCAAGTGATGCAAGCTCATATCTCAAGCAGCTGCGTCTGCACAATAAACGCATCGCTACCTGGTACACTTTGGCATCGCGCCTTGGCTGACCAAGCCCTCGCCCATGCCCCAGCTGCCACAAGCTTCTTGCGGACCAAGAAACTTGTTTAACAAGACGTACTCCAGCTCTGGATCCAGGTCGTCACTCATGTTTGCGTTCAAATGTTATGGCACCGGTTTGCTCTTGTTGGTGCGGCCTCAAACCTAAACCGTACGCATCGCAGAATTTCCCAGAATTGCTACTGTCAAAGCAAACGTGCTGGCAATCAGCATGCTGGTAAAGCCAGATGTTGCGGCAACATGAAAACGGCCACACCACACCCCTCCGGCCCAACTTGCGTAAAGCCTCAGATCACCCCACCCAACCCCCAACCCCCCCCCCCCCGACCCCCAAGGCTATCAAGGCTCAGGAGAGCAAAGTCAGGCCCTCAATTTGTCTGGCCACCAACGCATTGCAATGCCGAACCCCTGATCGGGCGCAAGCTGCACAATGGTCGCCGAAGGGGTCGGCAAGCAAGGCCTCGTGATGTTGGCGGGCCTCGGCAGCTGCCCTGCCACACCCGCACTGCGGGGAGTATGGCTGAGCGCTGCATGCGCTGTGACAGCTGCCGCAAAGCAAGGCTGCGACTGGGAGCTGTCAAGGTAATGGGTAGTCAAGAAACTCTTGCGCAACACAAGGCAAGCAGCGACTCAAAACAGCCCGGCAAGCCGGGGCGAGCGCACTCTCACCCGCGAGGCACCCCAACATGTGTTTCTTTTCTTTTTTTCCCTCCCATGCGCCTTGTTCCGTCCAGCTGGGGTGAAACACAACGGCCCACCAGCGCCCAGCGGGCGTCGGACATGACGTCGCCCAGTGGCGGCGCCCCGGCAGGGGCATCGCCAGCGTCGGGAGGAAGCGAGCTGAGGCTGGCCGCGAGCGCGATCTGCGCCGCGACGGCCAGCAACCTTACCGCGCTGGGCTTCGGGGCTGGCTAGGGCCTTGCCCCGCGCGAGGCGTTGCAGGAAGGCTTCCGCCTCGTCCCAGCGCCCCCAACCTCGAGGGCGACGACAACGAGGCGGCAGGAACTTTTGCGAGGGTGCGCGGGTGCCGCGCGCCGATAACCAGCATGGAGTCGGCCCAGGACAAGACGCGGCTGCCGATCGGAGCCCAAGCCCCCCGAACCGCAGGGGAGCTGCGGTCGCCTGGCTGCGAGCTGGCGCGGGTCACGGGCGAAGTCCGGGTCACCAAGCAGGTGCTGGAGGCACCGCGCGACGGCGATGTCGTGCGACTCCGCGTACGCCTCTGTCTCGGCGGGTGGGAGCACTAGTAAGTATAGTTGCTGCGCGGATGCGCGCACAAGAGGAGGATGAGCCATGCTCTTTGCAGGTGGGGCACAGACAGGATGCGCTGTGGATCGTGTTTGTCGCGAATGTCCTGGAGGCTGCGGGCCACACGTGCCCAGCACGGCGATCCCTTGTTGGTCTGGAGCGCGCGCCCAATTGCCCGTCCAAGCGGCGGCGCGCGCGTCGGGGCCAAGCGTGAGCAGCAGCGAGCTGGGTTCCTCGCCCGCTGCGTTCCATGCCCGTGTCTTGCCCAAGTGGAGGCGGACGGTGGCGCGCTCCCACAAGGCGATGCCTACAGCATCGGGGATTGAACAGCTTCCATCCGTCGCTGCGCTGCACCTCCGCCAAGCCAGCAGCCATAGCGTTGTTCAAAGCGCCCCGCACACGGCCAGCGCGCATACCCTCTTGCGCAGTTCCTCGGCCAGGTCGAATGCGCGTATGGCCTCCAGCGCGTCGCGCGGAGCACCTTCAGGCGGCGGCGCGGCGGGGACTTGCGCAAACTGCGCGCCGACCTCGCTCGCGCCTTGGTTGGCGCGGGCGGGCGGCGGCGGCGGCGGTGCAAGAGCCTGGCACCAAGCCACCAGGAGGGCGAGGCTGCAAGGCGCTTCGTCGCTCGTGTCGGCAAACGCTGCGTGCGGCCACCACTGAACGGGCGGCGCGCTCACGGCCAGGCGCTTTGCAAAGATGCGCAAGCCAGGTCTCCCAGTGTGCGCCCAACGCGGCGTGGCCGCGGCAGACACGGCCTCTTGGAGCTGAAGGCAACGGCATGGCCGTGCCCAAGCAAAGGGCCCCCTGCCTCGCGCGCAAGCGGCGCCGGCTGACCATGCCCACCGACGACGGTGGTGGGCGGGCATGCATCCCCGGGCGCTGCGTCGGCTTTGACGCACGGCTCCTCCGCCACCCGGGGTGCGTTGAGTCCACCTCCTTCCGTCGAAGCGAGACCTGCTTACACCAACGCGCGCAACGCTCTCTCGCGGCATAGCGGCAAGGCTGGACCGGGATGGCTTCCCTCGCCCACGGGTTTGTTGCCTCCGTGCACCGTCCCTGCGGCGCTGCCGGGGGCGGTCGGGTTGCGGTCGTTTGCCCGCGCTCGCCTCCGTCCGTCCGTGCGCCTTCCTTGCGGCGCTGCAAACGGTTGCTTGTAAGCGCGGCCCCTTGTTCGCGCGCGCGCGCGCCCGTCCCCCAGCCAGCCTGAAGTCCCGCAAGCACGCTCGCTCCTTTTTTTCGCGGGTGGGGAAAGTCTTGGCCGCGGCCGCAAAACGCTGGGCCTCAAGCAGAAAAAACTTGCTGCCTCAGCGGCGGCTGCCTCAGCGGCGGCGCATGGCCGCCACGGCCGCCTGTGCTGCTGTGGCGCAGCAGCCTCGCGGGGCCGCCCTTGCCGCCTTTGCCGCCGTTGCCGCCGTTCGTAACCACCATAGCCCTTGCCGCCCGCGTCGCGGAGCACGTGGCGCGGTGGGGAAACTCCGGCTTCTGGTCCTCTCCGGACCGGCCGCCTGCTTGGGCTCCGGCTTGGCGGGCCCTCCAGCATGGCCCGCAAGGCCTCCGCGGTGCCGTGCAGGAGGCCCAAGCCGGGAGGCCCGGCCCATACACACAACGCCCGTCCTCGTCAGAAGCTTTGCTGAAGGGAAGGGCTGCGGGAAAAACACTGCAACCACACAAGCATGAGCACAAGCAAAGTCAAGGGCTGCCTTGCCCCACCCCAACTGCAAGCGGCGCGCGTGTGTTGCGGTGGACAGGGCGCGGGCGGCGTGGGCAGCGGCCTATTGGAAGGGCCGGCAAGCCGCATCGAAGGCGGCAGCAAACTGCTGCGCTAGCAGGCCGCCGCAACGCGAAAAGCAAGTACCAAGCAAATTGGAAAGACCGCATCATGGTCCTGCGCGTACTTGGAGCTCAATGCCTTCTCAAAGCGGGGATAGAACCAGCTCTGTCTGACGAACTTGGCACTTAGGCCAGGGCTGGGCCGACAAAAAACGGCACAACACGACCTGTGGAGGCAAAGGGACTGCACAGGACTGTCTGCGTGGTGATACTGACTGATGGCAAAATGCACAGGATGCAACGCTTTGCTTCTGGCCGGCGCACACTGCTCTGTTTTTCGCAGGGTGGGTGGGAGGCGAAAAACATTGTCAATCCCACCCACCACACCCTGAGCCGATGTGCCACAATGCAAATACTTCACACAAATGTCAAGGCTCCAACACTGTAAGCCATTTTTGGCTTTTCTCGCAAGTTAAGTGATTATAGAACAAGTTCTGTCTGACGAGGCCTTGGCACTCTCCATTTTTACGAAGGCCGAACTTTCTGATTGAGCCTGTCAAAACTCACAGGATTACGATGCCAGCGCACTCCGTCGGAGGAACCAGGTCCCCTCTTAACGGGGCATCAAAAATAGTTTCTTCTAACGCAACTCTTGCAAACCAAGGGCAAACCTGGAGCTCAGGTTCAAGCTCAAGACATGCAGAAAGAACAGCAGTTGCGCTTTGGCTAGTTGACGCACAAGAAATTAAAAAATCACGGACGGCGGTGATGCCCGTAAACAACTGGCGCTGAGGGAACCAGACTACCCAAAGGGCCGCGCACACGGCCGACATTTCTAACTCATTAATCACTTTGCGTTTCCGGTTGGCCTGAGGCGGATCCTTTGCATCATCCGGCATGAGTCTGACAACTTTGCCCGATGGGTGGACTAGGACACCTCCGATTCCGGCTGGGAATTTTTCGTACGGAATTGCCCGATTCAAGGAATATAGTGGCTCGGGCCCTGACACTAAGCATAGGAGACGCCTTTTGCCTACCTTGGGAAAGCGCACCACGCATGCTGCATCAAGGAAAGGTAAACTGTTGGGAGGGGAGGTGAACTTGACCACCTGCAATTCCCTGAGGGCCTCTTCAAGAATGCTGATGGTTCGTTGGCTACCATCCACAGGGAATGGGCTATTGCAAAATCTGGACTTTTCCTTGCGCCGCCCAGTGATTTTGACAAAAGGCAAAGTTGTGATCTGGAAGGACGAGCACAGTTTCTTGTCTTGGTGGTTCCTCTGCCCTCTGAGCAGGAGGAGATTCTCATCCCAGCCTGGGATGGGAAGAAGCGGCTCTACCTCATCCATTTGGGAGAGAGTTTTGCACCTGGGCCAACGCCAAGATCGATGCATCAGAAATGCACACGCTTTCTATGGTTGCGCATCGAGATGAATGGAGTGATGAGGCATGGATGGTGCTGAAGCAATCTCCTGTCAAGACCTTGCTTTCATATTTTGAGGGCAACAGGTTGCAAGATGTTTGGGGAGGCGCTTGGCAATCGCAGGGAAAGATTTGGCAGCATAGAGCAGGCGGATCTGTTTGCTTGTCTGTGCAGGGCGCAACCGGATCAGGCAAGGGCCATGCTTCGACAATCGGGCTTTACGGCAAGGCCGATTTATGTTTCGCCGAAACCGGAGATCAAAGGCGCTGACTTCCCGAGTTGCTATGCTGACCTGAGGGTCTACGGCCAAGGACAGAAATCAATGCATCTTTCGCACGAGCATTTGGGCATGATCTGGAAAGGGAAGCGACCAGGCGAAGAGGTTCCCCGGATGGTGCAGATTAAAAGCAGATGGAAAGTGACTGGCATCCCTGCATTTGCTGAGTTTGGGCATGTGCAGAAGTGGCTGGATGAAATCAAGTGGAAGGCAAAGGTGCTGAAGAAGATCAAGGTCTTGGTTTGGCTCCTGGGCACGGATACTCTGCCCCCTTCTCAGACACTGTCTTTCAACAGCATGCCCCTCCTTGTGCAGGAATTCCAGGGAACACCTGCCACCATCCACGATCGTTGCCGGGTCTTTGGCCTCGCCATTGGCCCCGCCTGTTTCGGGAACAGATGACCCTTGGTTGAAGCAAGATCCTTGGAGCAAAATGAGAGGCGCCCCC